TTAGAGTGAAAGGTGTGACCTCTTGTGCTCAGCAGTTTTCATACTTGGGAGAAATGCTTTCTCTAGGCTCAGTATATGTGTTAGTGACCTAGCAATTGAAACAAGTCCATTTGGATTTTTTCCTGCATTTTTAGTGTGGACAAATGGAATAAGCTTGGCTATTAAAGCAAATACAATTCCTGTATGAACTTTATTTCAAGGTAACTAAATAATAGATAAGGGAAATTGATCCCTGGTAGAATTCCAGTTTTGCAATTCATAATGGAAAAATGCTAGGTAGTGATCATCAGTGACTGCTAAAATCTTGAGGTGAAAACTGATGGATACTTTATACTTAATGAAATAGACCAACACCTGAACCCATGACCAACCTGATCAATACTAAGAGGGAGACTTTATCTTCATCTTGATGTGATGTAGAAGGAAAGACAGAGTATCCCTTTTAAGTATTCTTGAAGAAAAAAAAGATCAAACCCAAATCTAGGCCTCTAGTTTACCTGTTTATTGGAAATAAACACAGTGGATAGAGGAATATGTTAAACCACATCTCAGGTATAAATCAGTCAAATCCAAAATATGGGAAATTATATAGCTTTGCTACTTTCAAAGTATGGTTTACAAACGAGCAGTGTTGATGTCTCCTGAAACCTTGGATAAAAATGCAGATTCTCAGGCCGTGTCTGTGGCAAACTGTTTCAGAATTGCATTTTAACAAGATTCCTAGGTAATTCTCTTGTACCTAAATTTTAGAAAGCATTGTACAGAGTACTGATCTAGTTTCTTAGACAAACCAAAAAAAAAAAAAAAAAATGGGGAAACTATTATAGTTTAAAAGAAAGTTAAATGTCTTGTATTTTTTATATCTTGATTTGAACAAATTAACTATAAAAACATTTATGTGATAACTGAAGAAATGTATTGATTCTATGTAAGATGATGGTATAGAGTGATTGTTAAAATTTTAGATGTAATGTTATTGTGATTTTTTTAAAGCCCTTAACTCTCAGAGAAGATACATACTGAAGAGTTTAAAATAATCTAAAGCATGGGAGTAGAAAAAGTACACTTAAAGCATGATTAGTCATATACTGACAATTTTGAAGCTGAGTAGTGGGTATATTGGGATTTAATATACTGACTTTTTAGGCTGGGCACAGTGGCTCATGCCTGTAATCACAGCACTTTGGGAGGCCGAGGTGGGCAGATCACAATGTCAGACATTCGAGACCAGCCTGGCCAACGTGGTGAAACCCTGTCTCTACTAAAAATACAAAAAAATTAGCTGGGCATGGTGGCACACGCCTGTAATCCCAGCTACTCAGAAGGCTGAGGCAGGAGAATCACTTGAACCCAGGAGGTGGAGGTTGCAGTGAGCTGAGATCAGGCCACTGTACTCCAGCCTGGGTGACAAAGCAAGACTCAGTCTCAAAAAAAAAAAATGTATATATACACCGACTTTTGTGAATGTAAGTATAATAAATGTAAGTATTAGTTTTTTTTAAAAAGGCATAGAATTGTGGTTTAAAATGGCAAAGTTAAAGATGACAAATCAACTTTTAGTGTTCAAGCACTTACGAGGGAAAACTTTGAAATATGAGGCCTGCAAGGATACATTTACAAAACGAATAATGTAAAACTATGAAACCCAAAGGGAGGGATTGAAACCGCCTTTGCAAAAATCATAACTGAGAAAATTATGACACTTAAAGAGATCTAACTTAACCATTACTCCATCTTGCTTCTAACCTGGTTCATTCCTGGGCATAACTGAACTAACTTTGGGAGGAACTTAGTTTATAGTTTAAAACAAAGACTGTAACAAATTTTCCCAAAACAAACCTCCTCCTTGCCTGGGGACTAGACTGCCTTTGTAGGACTAAGAAACTTCCTGTGGTTTCATCCCTGAACCATTCAATCTGTACTTCTGATTCACTGGCCCCCTACTCACCAAATGATCCTTAAAATCTCTGATCTCCAGAAAATCTCTCATCTCAACTCGGGCGGGTTGGCTCACTCCTGTAATCCCAGCACTTTGGGAGGCCGAGGCAGGTGGATCACCCGAGGTTGGGCATTTGAGACCAGTCTGACCGACATGGAGAAGCCCCATCTTTACTAAAAATACAAAATTATCTGGGTGTGGTGGCGCATGCCTGTAATCTCAGCTACTTAGGAGGCTGAGGCAGGAGAATCTCTTGAACCCAGGAAGCATAAGTTACGTGAACCAAGATTGCACCATTGCACGCCAGCCTGGAGGACTAGAGTGAAACTCTGTCTCAAAAAAAAGAAAAAAAAATCTCTGATCTCTGAGTTTTGGTAGAGACTGATTTAAGGAATAATAAAACTCCAGGCTCCCGCATAGCCGGCTCTGTGTGAATTACGTTTTTCTATATTGCAATTTCCCAGTCTTGATAAATCAGCTGTGTCCAGAAAGTAGGCATGGTGAACCCCTTGGGCAGTTACAAAATCATAACGGAAAATGTTCTCTGTATCATAGCTATTATGTCAAATCAAATGCCATCCATTCTACTTGAGTAATTCACAGAAAGCAGGAAACTGTTTCATTATAGAAAGATGTTAAATATATGATTTGCTTCCTGGGCCTTAAATGTAGAAGGATATTAAAGTTGGCCATCATTGGCAGGGTGTCATTGGCCGGGCGTGGTGGCTCACACCTATAATCCTAGCAGTTTGGGACCAAGGTGTGCAATCACTTGAGGTCAGGAGTTGGAGACCAACCTGGCCAACATGGTGAAACCCTGTCTCTACTAAAAAATATATAAAAATAAGCCAGGTGTGGTGGTGCACACCTGTAACCCCAGCTTCTTTGGAGGCTGACGCAGGAGTCAAGATCCTGCCACTGCACTCCAGCCTGGGTGACAGAGCAAGACTTTGTCTCAAAAAAAAAAATAAATAAAAATTAAAAAATTAAATTGGCTATCTAAAAGTGAAATGCCTTGTTAATGCTATTTCTTGCAAATGAGTTAAAACTTGAACTGCCACATCCTGAGTGTTATTTAGATTTATAGCAGTTACAGTTATCTCACCTTTAAGGCAAACTTTTTTAGGTTGCTAAGGCTAATTTGTATAATTTTAAACCTCAAAGATGACACCTATGAAGTCCTTGATTCTACATGTGTGTTTTAACTCAACTACTCCTCAGTAGCTAAGGCTTCCACCAAAACAGTTCTCTCAATACTCTTAATATTTGCTGTGTATTAGAATCACCTGGGAAGCTTCTAAAACTGACTCTTGCCCAATCCTCACCCCAAGAGATCTGGATTGATTGGTTCAGTTCAGTGATTTACAAAACTTAGCTGCATAAGAATTACCTGAAAGCTTGTTAAAACACCAATGCTGGGCCCACCCACAGCTTCTGTTTTCTTTAGGTCTGTGGTGGAGCCCACTGTTTGCATTTCTACAAATTTGTGAGTGATGCTGCTGTAGACAGCACTCTTTGAGAACCATTGCTCTAGTTTTTTAAGCTACCCAAGCGATTCTAATGGCAGCCAGGGTTGAGAACCGACAGGCACTTGCTTTGTAGTGTAGGCCCGGTGATAAAGTGAGCTGGGAGTTTTCAGCCTTTTGGCCCAAAGTTTTGCGTATATTCAAATTGTAGACAGTAAAATTGATAGAAGGAAGTAGCACTTTGTTGTGTTTAGGAGGTGTTCCTTCACCATTAATGTGACAGACTAACCAGGGGTAATATTAATGACCGGGCAAGAAACTGGTGAAGAGTAGAGCAGCTGTGTGAAGTACTGTGGCTTGCAAAATTTTGAAAGGAGGGCAAATGTGTAGATTCAGAAATGAGACTGAGCTGATGGGGACAAATCCAAAGCCACTCCTGTGACTTCCTCCAGGTAGTCTGGAGGACATATCATTGCTGTCTTGTGTTCACAGGGTTAAATGAGGCTCGGTATTACCAGCGGGGAAAGAGATGTAAAGAATGTGCATTATAATCATCTCTGCAGTTGAATGGAGACGTCTATTGAAAGAACTCTAGCATAGGGATCCCTGTTTATACATTGCCAGCTCAGTTCTCATAGTATAACCAGAGGATTCAAAAATTCAATACAACTTGCGTATGTGATATCACTACTGTCCCCAAAAGAGTACAGATTTATCATAACTTTAATGAATTCAGCTGTTTTTCTCTGATTTTTTTTTTCCCCCCTAGGACAGATCTCTTTCTAGTCTTATTGATCCCATTCCCTTTTCTTGTTTTTTGGTTTTTGTTTTTGAGACAGTCTTGCTCTTGTTGCCCAGGCTGGAGTGCAATGGCACGATCTCAGTTCATGGCAACCTCCGCCTCCTGGGTTTCAGTGATTCTTCTGCCTCAGCCTCCCCATTAGCTTGGATTACAGGCATGTGCCACCACACCCAGCTTATTTTTTTGTATTTTTAGTAGAGATGGGGTTTCTCCATGTTGGTCAGGCTAATCTCGAACTCCCGACCTCAGGTGATCCGCCCACCTCGGCCTCCCAAAGTGCTGGGATTACAGGCATGAGCCACCATGCCCGGCCATCCCATTCTTTTTTCTAAAAGGAAGGTATTAGACTAGATCTCAGGGTTGCTTCCCAACACTCACATGCTAAGATACATCATTTAAAGTTTTCAAGTATATATGACTAACGATGGTTTTTAAGTTGATATGAAAAAATAAAGATTTATTCTCTTCTTCAGCCCAGTCTTTTCTTGTGTCCACTTTTTATGTACATTACATCTGAGATCCTATTGCCAAACCACAGAGGGGTGGGTGAATTGCCTGGACTGGATGGGGCAGTAATAAGTTAGGGAGTTGAAGCCATCATCATCTTACCTGTCAAAGGTGGTTGAGTGTGAGAACTTCAGCAGACAGTTGTCACGTTTTTATTTCTCTACATGTTTTGCTTTCCAAAAGTATTTTGAATCAGCTATGCTAATTAAGGGGTGCAGTTTTATATTTTGCTTTAAACTGTTGACTTCCTTTTATATGTGATCCAGTAAATCTTAATCATTAATAGTGCCTTTCAGAATTTGCCCACTCGTCTGGTATAACTGGTTCTGATGGCTGGGAATAAAGGAAGAGGACGTGCTGCTTATACCTTTAATATTGAAGCTGTTGGATTTAGCAAAGGTGAAAAGTTACCTGATGCAGTGTTGAAACCACCCCCATTATTTCCTGTAAGTATATGAACAGTTGAATTCTCATAGTGTGTTTTTTTATTTTTCAGAGAATATTAAAATTCCATATAGGACTTGATATATCGTTATGTATCCTCAAGTATAAGAAAGTAAAGGAGAGTGTGTTTCACTTACCTTTAATTTAAATATTTCCATGATCTGCTTTCTTAAAATATAGAAAACAAAACTGTATACATCTTTCCATGAATATATGTGAATTAGTAAAGATTGGTTTTTAATTCTTACAACTTCTGTTGGTGTTATTGATCTATTCCAATGTCAAAATAATAGTTTAAAAAGTCATTAGGTTTTATAATGGTTCTCAGTTCCCACTCTATCATGACTTCACTTAAGGATTTTCTTTTCATCTTGTATCTGTTGAATTTAATTTTGCTCTTTAGTATACCACTTGCCTTTTTTCCCCACTGAACTTTTTTTGCTTAGTTTAGTGTTGTTTTAAAATTTAGTGAGTATTCTGGAAGCATAATTTGTATAACGTGTAATGTTTTCACTTTATATTTAGTTTAAAATCTATCCAGAGATCTACCTGTCTCACACAAGGAATTTCTGCTTTTTGCTCTTGATATTTTACCTTTTTGATGTTTAGCACAACATAAAAACAAAGACAACTATCTCAGGTATTGGCATAATGTCACTTTACAGTGATTTTTAAAACAAGCTCTTTTTCATGTGTGAGAGTACTTCTAAACACTGGGGATGTTAGTACATAGTATTTCTTTATACCTGGAATAAAATTAAAATTCCTTACTACTGGGTAAAAGGCTCTGCATGATCTCTCTGTTCTGATGTCTCTCTGACTCTTCCTACCGCTGTCCTTCTCATTCCCCAGCTATGCTGGTCTCCTTGCGACCTCAGGCCTTTGCCCCTGCTGGTTCCCCACTGGAACCATCTCTTCTCTTCAAATGGATGGTTCCCTGATTTTATCCCAATCCACTCAAATGTGACTTCCTCTAGAGGCCATGCACGCTGTGTAGATTGCACCTCCATCCTCCACGCTCTGGTAGTCACTTTTCCTTTACCCACCTTCATTTATTTTTATGTTGTTTATCACTAAGTGAAATTGTATATCACCTCATTTGTTTACTAATTTGTTGTGTGTGTGTTTCTCTCCTAGATTGTAAGTTCCCTGTAGGCAGGGACTTTGACTTGCTTATCATGGTATCTTCTAAAGTCTAACCATGTGGGTACTCAATAAGTAGTTATAGCGTGAATGAATACATTCCTAATCAAATTTTGAAAATATACCCTATCTTTATCCTCTGAAACTAGAAATGTCTTTACTGTGTACACTGGAGACCCATTTGTTAATGAATATATTTGTGTAATACACACAAATGCATATTTGTATATATGTATATGTGTGTATAATTTTTAAAACTTGGAATGCAGCTTCAAACTCTGTCTCTGCAATTTATTCATTATATGGGCTTACAAATTGTTTACTTCTCAATTTCTTCACTGTGAACAGAGAAATATTGGTAGTCCTTTTAATGAGATAATGGATGTTGAATATTGAGTACATCCTAGTCATGTTAACCACTTACTAAATGAAAACCGCTGCTTTTTTTTTTTCCATTAACACCATCACTAGTTGAGGTTAATAAGAAACTAAAGCATCTGCTCTCATTTGGGTATCTTAAATTTTTTCTTTCTTTTTTTCTTTTTGGTACTCTAAGTTTTAAAATAGAGAATCACATAGGTCAACAGACTATACGGAAAAATGATTATTGGGTGTAGTTTCAGGGCCAATAGGAAAATATGCATCTTTCTTACCTCTAATGTAAGGGCAAAGTAGGAAGTGGGTTAACAGGTTAAATAGACTACAGAAGTTTATCTTTTACGTTGATTGTAAAACTTAGTCCCTGTAAAACATACTATTTCAATAAAACTGCTGTTTTCTATAATACAGATAAAAGAGATATTAAAATACATAACTTATTTGAAAAAAAACCGTTGTCTCTTAATTTAAACAGGATACAGATTATAAACCAGTGCCACTGAAAACAGGAGAAGGTGAAGAATATATGCTGGCTTTGAAACAGGAGTTGAGAGAAACAATGAAAAGAATGCCTTACTTTATTGAAACACCTGAAGAAAGACAAGGTACCATATTGGAGTCTTTGATTATATGGTTTATTGTGTACAGATGAAACAGTGTTTAAGCACAAGATATATAATCATTTAATGACTGATTCAATTCAATAAAAAATCAACTACTTTGAAAAAACACATTTATGTTGATTTAACAGAGAAAAGACTTTAAACTTTTTGATATTTTTAGAAATTCACAATAATTTTATGTTAAGTGAAAATTAAGAAAAACAGGAAAATTTTAAAAAGTAAAAATTACCCATGCTTATGTCTAGAGAACCACTATTCATATTTATTATATTCCAGATTTTTTATTCTGCTTGTATATTCTCTTTACAAAACTGTAAATAAAAATTACCCATGCTTATGTCTAGAGAACCACTATTCATATTTATTATATTCCAGATTTTTTATTCTGCTTGTATATTCTCTTTTCGTATTACTTTGTATCTTCCTTTTTTATCCTTCTTATTTGTGGAAAATATGACTTTTAATGACTGTGGTAGTCTACTCTGTGGAGGATATAATATTATTAACTGAACTAATTTTCTGCTTTTTAAAAATTATGTCCAGTTTTTGGCTTGTGTATATAATGTTGTGATTATTATCATTATACAAACATTTATGCGTGTCTCTGATTAATATTTAGGTTAAAACATTTTTTAAGCCTTGATTTTATATATATATATTTGACATGAATTAAAATATGTATTCATTGTTGATGCTTAAGGCAGAAAAAAAAATTATATTTGGAGAGGGCTTGACAGTCTCAGACTAGAAATGGGAAGTGGTTTTACAGGAAAGGAAGCCATTCCTGAGTAGCTCTTTAGCACAGCAGTACTATATTGATTTTTTACTTTCTGCCCTTGATTGTTGAAATTAGAGAGACTGATATCATCTTTGAGTTTGCAAAACATCATTAAAACATGAAAAATTCACAGTGTCATCTAATTCCATTAGTATTAAAAATACATTCCATTTTTCCCCTCTCTAGAATAATTTGAATTGGCTGAATCAAAAAAATGACGCCTTATGTAATGATCTTAGCATGTGCTTATAAATATAGGAAGCATTTTAGGTAAGTTCATTCAATTCTCAAAACATAGCTGCTTGAAGTTATATAATGGTTTGATAAGAGATATTTTATCTCAAAAATACTTAATTTTTTTTTTTTTTTTTTTTTTTGAAATTGGAGTTTCACTCTTGTTGCTCAGGCTGGAGTGCAGTGGTGCAATCTCGGCTCACTGCAACCTCCGCCTCCTGGGTTCAATTGATTCTCATGTCTCAGGCTCCCAAGTAGCTGGGATTATAGATGCGAAGCACCATGCCCAGCTAATTTTTGTATTTTTTGTAGAGATAACATTTCACCATGTTGGCCAGGCTGGTCTCGAACTGACCTCAAGTAGTCTGCCGAGTTCAGCCGCCCAGAGTACTGGGATTACAGATGTAAGCCACTGCACCCAGCATAATACTGAAATTTTTAACTTTCGTGATTACCTCGCATGCCTTCATCTGTTTGAGTTCCAAACTAAAACTTCTCATTTTAAAGATTTTAAAAAGACCAAATGAACTAATCAATATTCATTCTTGTTAGAAAAAATTCTAATGCAAGGTATACTTTAGTCCTTTTAAAATTGATCATTTCTCTCTGGCACATTAACTGAATGTGGTTGTTATTGAAACACATGTCTAATCTAAAAGTACATCAAGTCATGCTGGGTGCAGTGGCTCACTCTTATAATCTGAGCACACTAGGAGGCCGAGGTGGGCAGATCATCTGAGGTCAGGAGTTCGAGGCCAGCCTGGCCAACATGGGGAAGCCCTGTCTTTATTAAAGATACAAAAATTAGCTGGCATGGTGGCATGTGCTGTAGTCCCAGCTACTCAGGAAGCTGAGGCAGGAGAATCACTTGAACCTGAGAGGTAGAGGTTGCAGTGAGCTGAGATCACGTCACAGTACTACAAATGAGACTGTCTCAAAAAAAAAAAGTGTCTCAAATCATTAAAGCATTTATGAGTCTTTTAGACAGGGATATTAAAAACATAATTTTGTTGTTGATCTGTGGGAGTGGTTGGCTCGTACATGGATTAAGGGAGCACTTTATCTTTGATAACTATGTAATAAAGTATTTAAAAATGTAAGGGGTTTTTTTTGCTTTTATTTCTTTTGGGAGAAAACTCTTGTAGGAAATTTCCAAATTGATACAAGCACATTCTCCCTGAGATCTTCATGTTTACTTCTGCCTTTTAAAAATTGTTTTATTTTTTATTTTAGAGACGAGGTCTCGCTTTGTCACTCAGGCTGGAGTGCAGTGGCACGATCATAGCTCACTGCAGCTTCCAAACTCCTGGGCTCAAGTGATCCTCCCACCTCAGCCTCTTGAGTAGCTAAGACTACAGACGCACACCACCATGTGTAGAGACAGGGGTCTCGCTTTTTGGCCACACTGCTCTCGAATTCCTGGCTTAAAGTGGTCCTCCCATCTTGGCCTCCCAAAGTGGTGGAGTTATAGGCATGAGCCACCGCACCCAGCCTAACTCTTTTTCTTGATATAGTGTGTTTAGAAAACAAAATCATGTTAAAAATAAAGGTTTTTCTATAAAATATATACATTTGTAAGTGCATATATAGGTTTATATATGTGTATATGTGCATGCATAAATGTATATAATAACCATGCTATGAGTGAAAAAGAATTGGCCAGACTGAACAGAACTATCCTAGTGTCAGAGAGAACCATATTCTGGATAGAGATTTTGCATGACTGCACCTTTGCCAGGTGCATCACTTGCCACCTCTGTGCTTTAGGAAAGAGAGACTTACGGACTACTGTAAAGAACTACATTACTAGACTTCAGGACAGACAAATGGGGTGGGAAATCTCAAGACTTCCTGATAGTCAAGTGACTGCTGGCTCAGGGCATTGGGATCAGTCCTGAAGAACCTAGGGCATGGAATGAACTTATTTCATGTTGTGATGTCTTCAAAGTTTGTTTTTAGTGTTTTCAGGTAGAATTTTAGATACGATTAGTATTTTCTTTGCATTGAATTTTGTTATTTGTATAACAAAGGAAAAATACCAGTGAACTAAAATAATGTTCACTGGTGTTTTTCCTGTAGCTGGAAGACGATGTAGAGATCATCTGGTCCAGTGGTTCCCAGCTCAGGTTCCTGAACCATAGGGTCCTCTGGGGTAAAAACATGATTCTGTTAGTGATAATGTTGTAATAAGCCATTTTCAGAACCTCCAAGCTTGATGGAAATCATACATTTACTTAAGTATGTCCACAGGTCTGTTACTGAGTAAATGGAATTTGGCTTCCTAATTCTTGTTATACTATCGGTGTCCATGAGACTCAATATAAATTTTTGAGGGTTTTTTTTTTGTTTTTTTGTTTTTTGGAGCAGTTCTTATTGTTTGTATGATTGATATTCATAACTTTTATTCTTGCATAGAGGTTTTCTAAAGAACAAGCAGAAATTTACTTAAATAAGAAAACTCATTTTATCTTAGCGTGCTGCATCAGCCCATTGGACCCTTTTATATATCTAAGATAATTATGGAATCTGAGTGATCTTATTTTTTCTCTATCTTGAAATACCTTGCTACTTCATCATCATAGATATTATCTCATCATCATTCATCAGATATTTCCCACTATGCTGAAAAAAAGAATAAATACAAAAAATGGGAGAGTGATGAAATTGTGCAGTTGAAATAAATCATCACTATTATGTCATCATATAGTTTTCCTGTTTCTTTCCTTTGGACAAGTTCCTAATGCTTGTCCAAAGTATTACATCTGTTTTTTGTTGTTTTTTTTTTTTGTTTTTTTTTTTGAGACGGATTGTCGCTCTTGTTACTCAGGCTGGAGTGCAATGGCGCGATCTCTGCTCACCACAACCTCCGCCTCCTGGGTTCAGGTGATTCTCCTGCCTCAGCCTCCTGAGTAGCTGGGATTACAGGCACGCGCCACCATGCCCAGCTAATTTTTTGTATTTTTAGTAGAGACGGGTTTCACCATGTTGATCGGGATGGTCTCGATCTCTTGACCTCGTGATCCACCTGCCTCGGCCTCCCAAAGTGCTGGGATTACAGGCTTGAGCCACCGCGCCCGGCCTACATCTGTTTTTTAAGAAGATATAAAGTGTGCAGACACTCTCATATTTGCAGTTGCTCTGTTTTAATTTTCATTGAATACAGTAGCAAATTTCAACAATTTTTAATTTTCTGCACATAATGTTCAAAACTGACAGAAAGAGACATTCAACAATTCTTAGACTAACCGGAAGATGAATTCAAAGAGATAAATAGCTCTCTGGATGCTAATGATGATGATGAAATTGATTTTATCAGCAAAATCTCAGACTATGAGTCTTCAGTGTCTTCAATGAATTTTCTCAAATTCAAGAATCAATGAGTAAACACTGTATTTCTAAGAATTAAAAAGGAATTATGGTGGCCTTGTACAGTTAATCTTTGAAAAAGACCTCATCATGTAATACTTTATAACAAAAACCTGGAACATCTTGTTTGCTAAAATGAGGTGATCATTTTCATTTTGTTTTATATTTGTGCACCAACATTAATTTGATGTTTGCAACTGACAAATGCTGAAAAAGAAGTTGATTGTACAGACATGAAATCATTTTTTGGACTGATTGTGTTAATTGGTAATTGTAAATTTAATAATGAAAATATTTTGCAAGTATAGAGTAAAGAAGTTTGCTGGACCATCTTCTCTTCAATAAAAGTATGAGAAATCAAAGTTTTTCTCTATCCAACTGTTGCATTTTGGTTATGTAAGTACAGGAAGAATTGGAAGTAGTGATAAACTAATCTAGAAATGCAGATGATACACGTATGAGAAAAAGAACCAAAAGCAATTATAAGTTAGAACCTATTAAAGATGTGTTTGGAATCAGGGATCAGGATGTACAGAAAGCATATATTCTAGATCAGGTGTCCCCAAACTACGGCCCGCAGGCCTCATGCGGCCCCCTGAGGCCATTTATCTGGCCCCCCGCCGCACTTCAGGAAGGTGCACCTCTTTCATTGGTGGTCAGTGAGAGGAGCACAGTATGTGGCGGCCCTCCAACAGTCTGAGGGACAGTGAACTGGCCCCCTGTGTAAAAAGTTTGGGGACACCTGTTCTAGATTTTCTGATGTACAGAAAAGTGTATTCAAATGACTTTGCCCATTTTGGTTAAATTTTCCTTCAAAACCACTAAAACATGGAATATAAATTTGAATTTACTATACTTAATTACTTAGTAAAATGTCTAATAGCTTTATTTATTTTCATTTGAGACAGGATCTCATTTTGTCAACCAGGCTGAAATGCAGTGGCATAATCTCAGTTTACCGCAGCCTCCAACTTCCAGGCTCAAGCGATCCTCCCACCCGCCATAACTTCCCAAGTAGCTGGAATCCACTGGCATGAGCCACCATGCCCGGCTAATTTTTGTATTTTTTTGTAGAGATGGGGTTTCACCATGTTGTTCAGGCTGGTCTGGAACTCCTGGACTGAAGGGATCCACCTGCCTCGGCCTCCCAGAGTGCTGAGATTACATCTTGAGCCACTGTGTTGGGCCTAGTTTTATTGATTTTTTTTTTTTTTTTTTTCCCTGAGCTCGAGTCTTGCTCTGTTGCCTAGCTGGAGCACAGTGGCACAATCTTGGCTCACTGCAACCTCCGCCTCTTGGGTTCAAGCAATTCTTCCGCCTCAGCCTCCCAAGTAGCTGGGACTACAGGTACATGCCACCATGCCTGGCTAATTTCTGTGTTTTTAGTAGACACAGGGTTTCACCATGTTGGCCAGGATGGTTTTGATCCCTTGACCTCATAATCCACCTGCTTCGGCCTCCCAAAGTGCTGGGATTACAGGAGTGAGCCATCGCACCCAGCTTTACTGATTTTTAAGTAACCGTTTTACTGAGACATAATCCACATATGTAGAATCTACTTTTTAAAGTGTACAATTCAGTTAATATAGCCACAGAATTGTCCAATCAACACCACTATTTAATTTTTTTTTTTTTTTTTTTTTTTTTTTGAGACAGGGTCTTGCTCTATCACCCAGACGGGAGTGCAGTGGCATGATCTCAGCTCACTGCAGCCTCCTTCTCCTGGATTCAAGTGATTCTGTTGCCTCAGTCTCCCGAGTATCTGGAATTACAGGCACACCACGCCTGGCTAATTTTTTTGTATTTTTGGTAGAGATGGGGTTTCACCATGTTGGCCTGGCTGGTCTTGAACTCCTGACCTCAAGTAATCTACCTACCCTTGCCTCTCAAAGAGCTGGGATTATAGGTGTGAGCCACTGCATCCAGCCACTGTCTAATTTTTTTGAAGCTTTTCATCATCCAGAAAAGAAAATCTGTACCCTTTATTAGTCACTCCCTAGTCTTCCCTACTGACAACCCATGGCACCAGCAATCTGCTTTCTGTCTCTACAGATTTATCTGTTCTGTCTATGTCGTGTAAGTGGAATGATGTAATATGTGTCTTTTTGAGACTGGCTTCTTTCACTTGCCATAATGTTTTCAAGGTTCATCAGTGGCTTAGTACATACAAGTGCTTTATTCCTTTTTCTGGCTTAATAATATTCCACTGTATGGATATGCCACATTTTGTTTATCCACTCATCACTTGATGGGCATTTGGGTCAGTTCACTTTTGAGATAACATAAGTTATGCTGTCATGAACAATCATGTACATGTTTTGTGTGAACATATGTTTGCATTTCTATTGGGTATATACATAGGATCATATGGTAACTATATTTAGCATTTTGAGGAAGTGTCAAACTCTTTTCTAAAGTAGCTGTACCATTTTACATTCCCATCAATAATGTATGAGTGTTCCAATTTCTCCATATCCTTGCCAACATTTGCTATTTTTTTTTATTCTAGCCATCCCAGTGGTTGTAACACAGTATCTCATTGTGGTTTTGATTTAAATTTCCATAATGATTAGTGATGTTGGATGTCTTTTCATGCTTTTTGTCCATTTTTGTATCTTCTTTAGAGAAATGTCTATTCAAATTCTTTACCCCTTTTTAATTGGGTTCCAATAATTGGTTTTTAATACCTCTTTACTCTTTTATCTGTTATCTTTTTTATTTATTCTCTGTATTTCATTATTTGAAATTAACTTAAAAATACTTAAAATGTAAAAAATGGTCTATTGTACCCAGAGAAAAAAGGGCAAAAACTGTTTTTTTCTGGTATACTGAGGGTCAAAATTATTTAAAATAGGGAATCTGTTTTGGAAAAATTCCAAAAAAAAAAAGAAGTCATTGTGTTACAAATGCTGAAAATCTCTCGTTTGTGCTGACTTCATTTTGCAGATGAAAAACTTGACAAGATTAGTTAAAACGTTTGCCCTGATGTCAAGCAGTTAAACTATCTAGAAAAACCTGATCTCTTGATCTCTTATCTACTGCTTATTTTAGTTATCTTTCTGTAATACATGATTATATTATTTGGAAGCATATTCTTGACATAGAAGAAAAATCAGTACATATTTGGTCCTTGACTTTTATCTATCCATCTTTAGTATTATCTTCCCTTTTTCATGCCTAACTCCTGAACTTCTTTTTATGATGAACAAAGCTTCAAGCTTTTGTGTGATAGTGTTGCTTTCCAACTTGTGCTGCTGGGAAATAGTTTGTGCCCTCCTGAAGGGTGTTTCTTGTGATGAGGTGGACAAGTCGGAAGTAAGAGCCATAGTTGTGGCTTTACTGGTTTTGGCAAGCTCAGAGGGTCCCTGCAGAGTTCTCAGCAGTTGGCATGGGAGGCTTGCAGCTTGCTCATTTATCCCTCAGATTGGTAACCCCTCACCAAGTCCAACCTTGCCTACTTCTACCCTTTTTCCCATTTTCTTATATACAAATGTAGGAAACTCCCTGTATGTGAAATAAAAAATGTCTGTTGTTTTCAGTTATCTTAAAGGAATGGCGTAAGTTCAGGGTTACTCATGATTTTCCTAATGAGCTCTTTATTCTTTTTTCCCTTAGATATCGAAAGGTATAGTAAAAGATACATGAAAGTGTACAAGGAAGAATGGATACCAGGTAACTACAAACACTCAGTATGAAAACAGACTGTCTCGTATTCTTTTTAAGGATAAGTTTTCTATTTTTAACCAAAGGAAAATTGAGTCTGGTTCTTTTATTGTGATTAATTAGTAATATAAATCTTTGGAAACTAAGGTGAAAATATTTTTATGCTAAAACAAGGAAGAATTGAAGTGCTTTTGTGGAAGTTCTTAAAATACATTTTTTATAAAAAGGACAGGGCAAAGAAACCCTTTTGATTTTCTAATTTCATTAGCCACAATCACAATTTTAGTTTGAAATGCCAAAAAGCACAAATAATATGCCCCTGAGCAATTTTAGAGCATTTGAAGAGGAAACAAAAATATAGTTTTAAAGATATTTTAAGCCAAGCTCATGGATCTTCCTTTCTTAATCAGCAGGCATAGACTATTTTTAGTTGCTAGGTTTCTTTTTCAAAATAACTGTATCTAAAAAGAAGCTTTACCTTCGGTGTAGACAACTTAGAAGGGGCTGTAAAGCAGCCCTCATGCCACCCATTCATTTTGCAAATAAAAACAGTTGCCATAGAAATAAAGTGACCTGTCAGGCCACCTGGCCAATACTGTTGGAACCCAGGTCTTCTCATTTTAATTTACATTCTTTTTATGTCTCTGTCCTTGGTCTTTTATGGAAACTACCCTTACGTAAAAACATAAATGGCATTAACAGCATTATCATTTTTACAGATTATAGTACTATCTTTTCAATATGGATAAGTTTGGGCACCCTGGAAACAACTTAGGTCTCACATTTCTTCGATTTCATTAGTATTCATCTCTCAAATGTTTCTCTTTACATATTCCATCATCTAAAATGAATAGTTTACAAAAACTAAAATATATTCAAAGCAAAATTTATTAGTTCAGGTAAAATGACTTGAGATTTAAAGGTTTTGTAAAAATGCAATGAAATTTCTTTATTAGTAGGCAGTATTTTTCAACCAATTTTTCTGTTGCTTCAATTTTCTGCTTAACTATAGGCTTAAAAACTAAAAGAAAGTGACACATTAGAGGAATTATTTAGCGAATGCAAGCAAAATTTATTGGAGGAAATTTATTTTTTTATTTTTTATTTTTTTATTTTTTATTTTTTTTTGAGACGGAGTTTCGCTCTTGTTACCCAGGCTGGAGTGCAATGGCGCGATCTCGGCTCACCGCAACCTCCGCCTCCTGGGTTCAGGCAATTCTCCTGCCTCAGCCTCCTGAGTAGCTGGGATTACAGGCATGCACCACCATGCCCAGCTATTTTTTTTTGTATTTTAGTAGAGACGGGGTTTCACCATGTTGACCAAGATGGTCTCGATCTCTTGACCTTGTGATCCACCCGCCTCGGCCTCCCAAAGTGCTGGGATTACAGGCTTGGAAATTTATTTTTGACAGCTGTTTGTATTTTTAATTTTAAAGTTTTCAGATATTAGAATTGCTTATTTCATTTTGCACGTGTTGGGATTGTGTTATCATACTTTGGAAAAAAAATTAGTTGCATAAGAAATATATCAACTACATAATATATCAACTACAGAAAACTTATACAAAGTAGTCAAATAAATCAATATAAATAATACTTAAAATTTGTTGTAATTCCAACACCCACAAATAATTACCATAAGATTTTCTTCCCCCAAAATTTTATAGCACTATTTCAGAGCTATTTTAATAAACTTTTTTCTTTATAGGAAAATATATATCATTATCTGTTATATTTGGATTTTGTTTTGTTATGTTTCAGGCTAAATTTGTACAGTCAGATTGTCATTGTCTGGATAACTGTTGTTTCCTTCAAATAGTTATGTCCAATGCCACTAATTCCTGGAGGAAATTGCAATTTTTAAATTTTTTGTTTCATGTACAGATTGGAGAAGACTTCCAAGAGAGATGATGCCAAGGAATAAATGTAAAAAAGGTACATTGACTAATGTAATAGTAAGTCAGGGAGGAAAAGTTTATTTCTTACATTCTGTTAATATGGACTTATCAACCCAAAGTTATACTTACTGTTCTTAATGCTTTTCTTAAAGTATTTTGAGCCAGACAAGAAGGCTTATGCCTGTAATCCCAGCACTTTGGGAGGCTGAGGTGGGAGGATTGCTTCAGCCCAGGAATTTAAGACCAGCCTGGGCAACATAGTGAGACCTTGTCTCTACAAAAAGTTAAAAAAAAAAAAATAGTCAAGTGTTGTGGCATGTACCTGTAGTCCGCTACATGGGACGCTAAGGTGGGAGGATCACTTGAGCCCAAGAGGTGGAGGCTGCAGTAAGCCAAGATTGCACCACTGCACTTAAGCCTGGAATACAGAGCAAGACCTTGATGCTCTTTCTAAGACCCTGACTCTGTCTGTCTTTCTCTCTGTCCCCCTGTCCCCACCATATATCTTTTGCTAAAGCTTATTTTTTGTTGTTTATCTTTTGGGTGTCTATTATTATTTTCTTAGCTATCACTTTTTCTTTGTGTATGTCTTATTTTTTAATTTTATATATTTTAAAAAATTTTAGCATTCATTTTATTCATTTCATTTTGCATGTGTTTAGATACATTTTAGATACAAGGGGTACATGTGCAGGTTTGTTAAATTGGTATCTAACACCCAGGTAGTGAGTGTACTACCTAATAGGCAGTTTGTTAAACCACCCTACCCCCTTCTCCCCTCCCGACTTTAGTGGTCCACTTTGTCTGTTGTTCCCATGTTTATGTCCGTGTGTGCTTAGTGTGTAGCTCCCACTTATAAGTGAGAGCATGCAATATTTAGTTTTCTGTTCCTGTATTTATTTATGTAGGATTGTCCTTTAGTTGTAGAATTGTGGAGGTGCTAAGAAAGACTTTTCAATTGTTGTAGATCTTTTCATTTGCATAACTGTAGATTTTTTATTGTACTGGCTACATTATAAATTATTAACTAAAACATTTCAAAATTGGGAAACCAATAAAATAGCATTATGTTGTATAGAAGAATGCCAAAGTGAATATTTACAGTTTGTTTTCCTTTAGTAATTCCATTCAGTAAATAGTTACCTATTATTGCTGGACATTGTGCTGACAGGAATAAAACTGAGCAAAGTGGGAATAATCCTTGTCCTCATAGAGCTTGCAGTCAAATAGGGTGAAATCATTAAACAAAAACTCACTGTCCTCATTGGGAAGTATTCTTTGAGGAAATGGAATTGGAGTTGAGATTAAAGGATGAGTAGGAGTTTACTGAGACACAGTTGTGGGAGAGAAAGTAGAGAAATAACCAGGTTTGTAAGAGAAAATCAAAAGTTCAGTTCAAAGGTGTTACTTCTGGATCCTTTGAAATATACAAATAGAAATGTTAAATATATTGTTGGATACAGGGGAATGGACCTCAAAATGGAGATTGTAGTCATTATCAGAGATGTGATCGTTGAGACCAAGAGAAAGGATGAGATGGCCTAGGGCAGAATTAGGTAATTAGAAGAAAGGAAGGCCTAATCCTGAGCTTAGAAGAATGCCAACATTTAATGTGCTGGTAGAGGAGATTGAATGGCAAAGAAAGGAACTGGAAAGAGAGGGAGGAGGAGAACCACGAGAGCAGAGTAACACATGGTAATCTGATATTTCGGAAGGTTGTCAACAGTGTTAAAAGATGTTAGACAGTTTTGCTAAGAGGTCAAATAGGATGAAGATTGGAAAATGTTCACTCATCGTTAACATGTTGGTTATTGGTGACGTCAGTGAGAGCTTTTTGAAAGATTCTCAAAGGTAGAATCCAAATTGGAATGGCTTAACTGGTAAATGGAGCTTAGGAATTGGAGACAGCTGGCATAGATGAGCCTTTTTAGAATTTTGCTATGAAGAATGAAGAGTGGAAAAGGAAGGTAGCCAGAGAGGTTAAGAACAGTGGGGTTATCAACAAAGAGAAGAGAAGGAATTCCCACTCCCCTTTTTAACCCTTTGTTGAGGTACAATTGACAAATAACAAAATGCACATATTAGAAGTACATTTACATTTTTTGCACATATGTATTTAAGGCAGAAATATTTTTATTTTATTTTAAAGATATAGTATATAACAGCCTTTAGCTTGAATGCAAATATTTTGAGATACAACAATTTATCTTCTTTTATACCCTTGGTTTTTATTGGGCAAATATATTACTTTCATAAGAAAATGCATGTGCATGAATGATACTGGTCATGTCCTAGGGGATCACAAATCCGTAGTTGACTTTAAACCTGAAAAGAATGTGCTCATTTTGGAAGAGTTAATGTTTTCAAATACGTCATCCCTGGGATTTTATACCCACATTAAGCATTAGTAAAAGCTCCCCATGTATCAGGGTTTCCATTTGTTAATAAACAAAGCAACAGCAAAACTTTGTTTTTTTATTTTGCTCTAGTATGTTTTGTTATATGTTATGTAATTTTTGTGTCTTGTTTCTGTAAGTTTGTATTCTCCTTTTTGTTGAGATGTCCTCCATTCATTTACATGGAATTAAACAATACCAATAGAGTCAAAGGATGAAAACAGTTGTTTCTTGAAGAACCAGCTACTGCCACATGTTAACAGAAACTATTCAAATATATGCAGATACTTGGCCAAAGATGGAAAAAAAATAAGTTTACTTACCTGGCCATATTCTCTAGTATCCCTTTAGCAGAGGTATATGTTATAAAATTAAGTAATTTTCTTTCTTTTTTTTTTTTTTTTTTTTGAGACAGAGTTTTGCTCTTGTTACCCAGGCTGGAGTGCAATGGCGCGATCTCGGCTCACCACAACCTCCGCCTCCTGGGTTCAGGCAATTCTCCTCCCTCAGCCTCCTGAGTAGCTGGGATTACAGGCACGTGCCACCATGCCCAGCTAATGTTTTGTATTTTTAGTAGAGACGGGGTTTCACCATGTTGACCAGGATGGTCTCGATCTCTCGACCTCGTGATCCACCCGCCTCGGCCTCCCAAAGTGCTGGGATTACAGGCTTGAGCCACCACGCCCGGCAAAATTAAGTAATTTTCTAACAAGTTCTTAGAAAAAGACTTCATGAGTAGAATACATTATTAACTAATGTTTTTTGGCATGAATATTTATTGAGATCTTGTTTATATATGATGCTATATTTTACGTGTTACAGTTTTTATTAAGCAGTCGTTGCCCTCAAGGGGGTCAGAGAAAGTTACCAATCATTAAATCTGTTACTTTTGTTTGAGAAACCTCACTAATACATATGTTTGGGAGCTCTGGGCTCAGTAAATCACCGAGGGGCAATTCCGTATAACACGGTAAATTGTAATTCCATCAGTTACAGGTCATCTACCACAATCTAAACATTTTTTTCTGTAGGTTAAATGTTAATCTTTAACAAAATTACATCTTTCTGAGCCACATTTTCCTCTTACAAAGTAATTTCTAGGTGTTCAGTTTGAGTTTGGAAAAGAACTGTAATACTTTCTGACTACAATGGGACAATTCTGTAGCCTGTCATATTGCTTTGGTAACTGACTGGCAGAATTTATATGTGAAATACTTCTCTAGTCAGAACAGCCTCAAAATGTAAAATTTTAATAGGAGTAAAAAAAGAAGTTATGTAGCCCAAAGCCATTACATTTTATTTCACGTATATGCTTTTGAGTTTTCAGGTTAATATGATGAATATGTTCAGTTTAACTATTTGAATCTTTATTCCAAAGATAGTTCTGTGTTGCACTTGTCATCTCGTTCACCATTGGCAAATGAATTTTTATCCTGCACTTCCTTTTTATTTTGCACACCTGGTAAGATTCCTCTGGTTAAAGTGAAGGAGAAGCCAGTGCGGGTGGATTTGCGGGAGCCTTTCACTGTACTCATGCTACTTCCATCTGAGGTAACATTTCAGCAGTTTGGCCCTGACTATATTAATTGCCAATTCCAATTTCTAGTACTAGTTAAAAATACACCTGACTTCAGTCTTAAAAAAAAAAGTCCTATTGATGATCATTTATTCCTCATCATTGGAAAATTGGTGAGGTATGATTTGTTTATTCTTTGAGAAAATTAATTTACTCTGAAAACTATGTGACTGCCTAGGGTGCAATAGCATGATGCTGGACAGCATACGCAGAGGCAAGGAAATATAATACACAGTTGCATTTGCAGAAAAATGTGTTAACTGGTAGTTTTACTTCAGCAGGCCCCAAACCCAAAAAGGCAAAAGACGCAGGCAAAGGCACTTCACTCACTAATACTGCAGATGTTTTGAAAAAAATTGAGGTAAGGTTTTCTTCTTACTATAAAAGTGAACTGAAAAAAATGCAAAAGATTCTACCTCCTTTTGCTTTCCTGTTTCAACCTTTCAGCATTCTCTCACTTTTTAATTTGGCAGAAGTGAGCCCAGCATGTAAAGTAAGTGGGAAGGTTTTAACTTTGTGGGCTGGGAGATGGGGAGGTTCTGTCATGTCCTTCGTTAGTTACTTGCTTGGAAAATTGATATTTTTATTTTATTTTTTGACCAGTACTTGAGCTCGAGACCACATGAAAAATAAAGCCAGAGTGCTGATGCAGGAGCAGTGATAACTGTCAGGTTTAACTGTGGTGGAATGATGGGATGGCAGTTCTAGACAGCTTGTATTGATCGAACTCAGGATCTGGCCATTCTTTTTTTTTTTTTTTTTTTTTTTTTCTTTATTTTTATATTTTTTTTCAAAATTTTTATATTACTTTTTTTTTTTTTTTTTTACAAACCCTTGTGTTGAGGGCTGACTTTCAATAGATCGCAGCGAGGGAGCTGCTCTGCTAGTACGAAACCCCGACCCAGAAACAGGTCGTCTACGAATGGTTTAGCGCCAGGTTCCCCACGAACGTGCGTTGCGTGACGGGCGAGGGGGCGGCCGCCTTTCCGGCCGCACCCCGTTTCCCAGGACGAGGGGCACTCCGCACCGGACCCCGGTCCCGGCGCGCGGCGGGACACGCCCCGCGCGGGGCGGAGCGGCCCGCCGGCGGGAACGGCGGGGGACCGGCTATCCGAGGCCAACCGAGGCTCCGCGGCGCTGCCGTATAGTTCCGCCTGGGCGGGATTCTGACTTAGAGGCGTTCAGTCATAATCCCACAGATGGTAGCTTCGCCCCATTGGCTCCTCAGCCGAGCACATACACCAAATGTGTGAACCTGCGAGGATCTGGCCATTCTTAAAGCTTCCTGGAGAAAACTTGCTAAAATGATGTGTGCTGTAAGGAAGATTGATCTGGGGTCTCTGGGTGTGGTTTCTCCCTGTAACAAATTATGTTTCCTTATTCTCTACATGTAAACACCTTTTTCAGGACACACACTGGTAAACTGGAAATTTAAATCAAGAAATTCCAATGAGTTTAGTAGAGTTGTTCCCAGATGACTCTCTTATTGTTCATTTTTTTTCAGCAAAAAAAATTACAAGTTTTATTATAATAGAACATTCATGGATGGAGAGGGAGTGACATATATTCAAATCTCATGATTCATGTGTGAATAATTAGTGGTAAGCTAATACCTGAGGCTTCTTATTTCTGCATAACAGGAGGCTCTGTATGGTGGCTGTAAGGCTGTATAATATTTAAACCGTAAGAACTGCTCTCTGTCCATAATTGAACTGTTTTCAGTGGCTTTACATTATATTATTCGATTCTTAAATCTGTAAAGTAATAAGGTTAGATGGTTAAATATCACCAGGAGTGAGAGAATGGAGACTAGTAATAGGAGAGCTGAAACTAGTAGCTTAATAAAAAAGGAATGAAGCAATGAGATGATGTGTGTGGCTTTGAGATCAGTTTTTGTTAAAAAGTTGCATAAATCTGCTATTTTTAACCTATTTTATGAGTGATTTAGATCTATGTGGTGGAAATAAAGATGTTTTTTTTTTTTTTTTAAGATATTTGAGGGGGCGATAATAGAAATACAGACTTCCTAGTTCCTATGTGGCACTGAATTAATACTGTATTTAAAAAGTACTTTTGCATAACTGGTTTAAATAACTATGTTCTTAATTATGAAATAATAGCATGATTTTTTAGATATAGTGTGTACCCTGCACAGAGCCAAATAAATATAGCACTGCAATTTCCTATTAACTACACACACTTACGGGTTGCAGGTCTTTTTACTGTGATCTGATTGAAATAGAAAAAAAATTATTAACATAGCATCATATATGTGTATGTATATCTTATTATAGATGCTTCAAAATATCCATAAGCACTCTTTTGTTTACTTGTACTTTTCCAAAGGGATTGGCAGTTGGAAAAATTGCACACATTATATTGTATGTAGTAATAGCTCATATAAGACAACATATGAGTCATTATCAAGATAAATCATCTTATGTCTGTTACCTTGGTCTTATTTGTTCTGCCTGAGTGCGTTAAGCAGACAGGAAAGGTGGCATTTGAATTTTGATTAGAAACTGAGCCTATCTAAGGTAGTCAGGTATTCTCTCTATTGTCTTTGATTTCCTTAAATTCAGATTTGAATGTAATTACAAGGAGTTTTAAAGATAAGCATTTAAGAACCAGTAAAGGGATAGCTAAGTTGTAGTCACTTCAGATGTTTTCGCCCTCTACAAAGCAAGTATCTTATAATAGAGATGGAGTCTTTGCAGATTATTTCTGTTTAGGAATAATCACATTTTAGCTGAGGTGACTTATGCCTTAATAATGAGTAGTAATATGTGAAATTATTGACTCCTGAAAAACTTGTGAAATTCTGTAACATATGCACATTAAACAGGGTACAATTTAGTGAACAGATAGTGACAGTAATGAAAATAGGTCACTTTTTATTAAATGAAAAAAGCATAGTACAATTTAGTGAATAGATAGTGACAGTAATGAAAATAGGTCACTTTTTATTAAATGAAAAAAAATTGAAAAATTGTTGGTAGTCATGATAGAAATGCAAAGATGTAAAGTTAATTTCATGTGCTATTCCCTGATGGTTCCACTTGTCGTTAAGTGGGACTCTCATGGAATCAGAGCTTTCCTAACTCTGCATCTCTCTTTTGCCTTCTTTTATAGAATTTCTAAAAATTGCTAGTATTGACAGTGATTTGAGTTTCAATTTCTGTTTCTTCTCAATCTGCCAGATATATTAAGAAACAAAAATTCCTGGCAACAGGAAGTAAATAATGAGAAAGAAAAGAGTTGAAGACACAGATAATCTGCAACTAGGGTAATCTAACCCAGGATGACTTGATATTGTAATTAAGAGTATTAAATGATCTCATGTATAAAGTGAAACATAGACATTTTGAAATATTACTATTACCTTATTTTTTTTCTCCTTTTATGTTAAAAGGAAAATAAAATAACATTCTAAAAGTTGTCCATAAACTAAGTCACCTCAAATATTTTAGAAGGAGGTAGGATAGACGGCCAGGTGCAATGGCTCATGCCTGTAATACCAGCACTTTGGGAGGCCAAGGCGGGCAGATCTCTTGAGACCAGGAGTTCAAGACCAGCCTGGCCAACATGGAGAAACCCCTCTACTAAAATTACAAAAAATTAGCCAGATATGGTAGTATGCGCCTGTAGTTCCAGCTACTCAGGAAGCTGAGGTAGGAGAATCACTTGAACCCAGGAGGAAGAGGTTGCTGTGTGCCAGGATTGTGCCATACTCCATCTGGGCAACACAGCAAGACTTTATCTGAAAAAAAAAAAAAACAAAGGAGAGGTAGGAGAGAAATTATAAAAATAAAACATTATGCATTAGAGCCGATAAGCCCAGTATTAATCTGAAACCCAGTTATTAAGTAACAAAATCAAAGAAAATGCTGGTTTAGTGATGAGACAGTGAATTCCTTCTTTCTTGAGTTGACTCCTAGTTTTCTAGGTAGGTGGTGGCCTGTAGGTGGTGATAAGATGGGATTGGAATAATGTGTAATAGATAACTGTTCCCTTAAGGCTAAGCAGGGAAGTCAGCAGTCTAGTGGTTTCCATACAAATTAATGAAACTCACTTATACCAGGAGTTGGAAAAGAGAGGTGATGGTGAAAAATCAGATGAGGAAAATGAAGAGAAAGAAGGAAGCAAAGAGAAAAGTAAAGAAGGTGAGGATGACGAAGACGATGATGCTGCAGAACAGGAGGAATATGATGAAGAAGACCAAGAAGAGGTAATGGTTCATTTGGGGATGGTAGCAAAATTATAAGCTTATCTAACAAGGAATCAGATATAGTATGTATTAAAGTCAACAAACAGAAACCAAGATGATGGGAAATAGAAGTATATTTTTATCAATGGCATTGACTCCTTGCTGTCGAGAGAACTATTATAGCATTGATATTATAATGATGTCAAATTGAATATAGGAGATAAAAAGTAACTTGATTGGCAACTTTGTAAGTATAAATCTACAAGATAAGGAAATTGATCAAATTACTGCAATTAAGATTTAACAACATAAAAATTTATTTAAGTCAGCAATTCAGGTAATGGAGGGCTGAACCACGTTATATCTAGAGGAGAATCCCTGCAGTGTGTTTCAAATTCCAAAGTGCATGTGAACTCTACTATCAGAGAAGATTGACAGTTTAACCTCAGGTATCTGGCTGAGTCAGGACTCTGTGTTTTGGATTTGGGATGTCTAACTTTTAGAATGAAATTCGCATAGTACATTTAGAAGTAGCTGGAGCCAGTCAGGTATTTTTGAGCAGGGTAATTGTGCAGACCACCGCCTCTTCGGGACTTTGTAGATACCTCAGACAGTAACCCTAGGCAGAGAGTTTCTTCTCCATTCTGGTGACCTTTGTCTTCTATTCCATTTCAGCCTCTTACACCACATTCTGAAATTTTGCTTCTCCTAAAACTGTTCCAACTATGAAATCTTTACTGTATTTATTTTGCATTAAATTTGATGTTCTTTTGAAATTTATATTGGCATAAACAGATTAATATGAATACATTTTTTATCTGTTTCCAAGTGGTTAGCCAACTGCTAACCTCATTTCTTAAATAATTTGCTTTCCTCATTGATTTTGAAATTCTTGTTGTATTGGCTATTGCATTCCCATTTCTACTTCTGTTCTCTGTTCCACCGATTTATTTTGAACCAACACTAAGCTGTTCCAATTAGTAGAAGCATCTGATTTTTTGTTAATATTCGTAGGGTATGTCTTCCCCGCTACCGTTTTTTTTTCCCACAATTTTCCTGAATATTCTGTCTAGTCTTTCAGGTAAATTTTAAGTCTAAACATTTAAAAATTAAATATATCACGTTTGTGGTATATCACATTTGTTACCAGCTTTTTTTTCAGATCATTCGTGTTTTTATTTCCATTGCTCTCTGACATGATTGAGATGGTCAGTAATTCTGATCATCTCTTTCCCCTTTATTGGTTCTCTGTTTTAATTTTCGTTTCTAAGAAACTCAGACCCTTGCTCATCTTTCATCCTCTTTTTTGCCGTTATTCTTGTCTCTTGCCCTCCTAGTGCACACTGTAGACTCTAGCTCTGATCATTTCTACTCTCTACCTCTTCTCCCTTTCAAAGCTGACCTGTTGAGCATTTCATGGCAATCACAGAAATTGATACCCCTCCAAAAACGCTAGCCCCATTTTGCTGGATAACATGTTTCTATTCTCTTTTTAAGTCAGCTCTCTACAGCAGTTATTTTAGATCATCATCTTATTTTCTCTCATTTACTACCTTTTCTTTCACTCAGCAGGTGATAGTACCTTCATACAGGAAATGAAGTCATCAAGAGGAAACTCTATTAATTTCATGTCTGTCCTCTGCCATCAAACTCATTGTCTTATCTCCTCCTTCTCTTTTTTTTTTTTATCAAGGGAAGAAATCCGCTTTACCCTATTTGGGTCTAGTAGTCCTATCCTTTTTTTGAACCATAGTTCTCAGGTCATTTCCCTTTCCATATTTTTAACCTCTTTTTCTGCCTGTCTCTTACATTCATGGATTAAAACATGTTCATTTCCCTTTGCAAAATATGTTGTCCTCATTCTCCCTCATGCTGTCTCTTTGAAAGCTTCTTTAGCTGGTCATCACTTGCTCATTACCCCTTCCCCCACCATTAGCTCTTTTCAATCTTAGTTTCACCTCCGTGCTGTTCAAATTATTGCTTTTGACAAATAGAAGTAGCTTAAAGAAAGAAACTATTGCCTCCACGCTCACCATAGACAAATTTTAGCCTTTATGTTACTTAGCTTTTCTGTAGCATTTAACACTTTTGACAGCTCTATTATTAAAATACTATTTCCTGGCTGGGCACGGTGGTTCACACTGTAATCCCAGCACTTCGGGAGGCTCAGATAGGCGGATCACGAGGTCAGGAGTTCGAGACCAGCCTGGCCAACATGGTGAAACCCTGTCTCTACTAAAAATGCAAAAATTAGCCAGGCGTGATGGCGGGCACCTGTAATTCCAGTTACTTGGGAGGCTGAGGTAGGAGAATCCCTTGAACCCAGGAGGCGGAGGTTGCAGTGAGCCAAGATCATGCCACTGCACTCCAGCCTGGGTGATGGAGTGAGACAACATCTCAAACAAAAACAAACAAACAAATGTGTGTATATACATATATATATATATATATATATATATATATATATGTAATTTCCTTAAATTCAACAATGTATGGCAATTATATGCATCTTCTATATGCCAGGCATTATGCTAGTTGCCAAGTTATAGACAAACCTGGTTGTTTCCCTTCATTTTTGTTACATAATGCTCCTTGTTTTTCTCCTATTTCTGGTGCATTTTTGTGGTCTCTTGAGTTCTTCTCTTTCTAATCTTTAAATGTCAGTATTCTTCAGGGTTCTTCCCTTGGGCTTCTTTTTCTCACCATAATCTCTCTGACTGATTGCATCCTTCTCCATAGTTACCCTGTGTAAATGTTCTTTTTTATTCAACCTATAGTAAGTGTACACTCAGTATATGCTTGGAATTGTACTAGGTAAGGGGAATATGAAGATAAGATACAGTTTTCCTCTCAGGAAAATTACTAGAGAGACAAGAAAGGTGACAGTTAAAATACAGTGAATAGTGCTATGATATAGTAGTACAGGATGCTATAGCGGCACATAAGAGATGCTGTGGGCACTCCAAAGTCTATTTTAGGAATATCAAAATGATATTGCAAAGAAGACAATTCAGGAGCTCCGAAGAGCTAATCACATCAAGATAGGAACATGGAATGGAGGGGACACTTGGCAGGTAGAAAAAAGAACATGGAGAGAGGCTTGCAGGTGATGAGACTGTAGCATCTTGATTTAACTGACCAGATAAATCAGCATGGCTGGACTAGAGCATGTAAGCGGGCTTACATTGAGAGATGAAGCTGGAGAGATGAGCAGGTCATTAAGGACTTTGAATGTTAAGGTGAGGAATTTCTATCCTGAGCACTGTGGGGAGTATTGAGGGGTTTTAAATAGTGGAATGGTGTAATCATACTTATATTTTAGAAAGCTCAGTTGATTTGAATGGAAGAGCCAAGGTTGAGTCATATTTGAAAGCTTGCTGCTGCAAACCAGAGGTTTTCAATACCCTTGAAGGGATATTTGGTAGTGTCTGGAGATATATTTGGTTGTCACACTGCCATGGGGGTAGTAGGGTGGTGGTGCTATAGGTTCTAGTTTGTATGGCCGATGTTCTAGACAACACTGGCATTTGCAATGCTCTGTTAACAATGTCTGCTGGCATTGAGTTGAGTCGAAACCATATCTGTGTTGAAATTAAGATCTCCTCTAACAAAAACAACAAACAATGGGATTCTAGTAGTTTTAGAATTCTTCATTGAGCCTTAGCAGAATATTAAACAATACCAGTGGGTTTATTATGACGTTTCATTTTAAACAAACAAAAAAAAAAACCCCAAAAAACAAAAAACCTCCCTACTTTAATAGAATAATGTGTGTTCTGCGTGTATAGCTGAAGTATGGAAAGGAGATATTCTTTAATACCTTTCTACATTTAAAATTATTTCTCTCTGCTCCTTTTGGCAATTATTAACTAAAATATGTGGTAATTAATTTACCCAATGTATTGAGGACTTGATGAGCATTCTGTTTTGAAGAATAAAATGGGACAAATTATCTGTGTAATGCCTATTAGTAAAATCAAGGAAATAAAGACTTCTTACTTATTCGATCTTTAGAATGTTGTAATTGAAAACACAAGGGCTCAAATGAGAGCCTAGAAACCATTTAAGCCGTCAGTTTCACTACTGAAACTACTTTATAGGTTTCACTACTTTATACCTGTATCAAGATTACTAACATCAGGGCCGGGCACGGTGGCTCAAAACTGTAATCCCAGCACTTTGGGAGGCCGAGGCGGGTGGATCACGAGGTCAAGAGATCGAGACCATCCTGGTCAACATGGTGAAACCCCGTCTCTACTAAAAATACAAAATATTAGCTGGGCATGGTGGCACGTGCCTGTAATCCCAGCTACTCAGGAGGCTGAGGCAGGAGAATTGCCTGAACCCAGGAGGCCGAGGTTGCGATGAGCCGAGATCGCGCCATTGCACTCCAGCCTGGGTAACAAGAGCAAAACTCCATCGCAAAAAAAAAAGATTACTAACATCACACAGTTACCTAATTTGAATCACTTAAACAGAACTTGGAAAAGGTACTCATGTCTAAAACAAAAGTGACATATGCTTGATTTGGAATACTAGAGTATCCCTTCCTTATTCATCTCCACTTTATGTACAAATTGGCTTTTATTTCCACACAAATGTTCTTGCCAAATACCGCCTTTACAAGGTGACCTCATTTGAATTCTCAACATGCCACCCTGCCCTGGTACACAGGCCCCAGGTGTCAGCCAGGTTTCTAGGTATTGCCAAATTTTTTGGTCCAGAAAAGCAAGGCCAACTTTCTGGAGATGGGAATGGTCTTATTAGCTGGATGCAGAAACTTACAGTATCTAGGAAAGAAAAGGTAATGAAATACTATCTAAATAATGCATGTTACCTTTCTTGCATTAGGTAAATATATGAAAAATCCCACTATCCGGATACTCAAAAAAAAAAAAAAAATTGGAAAAATAATAAAATTGATAGCAAACTATCTTTTGAGAATAATCTGTATTTCTTACTATAGATAGTAGAGATGTGGAGATTAATCTCTTATTATAGCAGATCTCAATCAAGTGCAAAAATGTAGTAACTAGTAAAAGAAACACCCATATGGTCTTATCACTCAGCTCTAACAATGATCAACTCATAGCTAATCTTTCAACCACTCATTCATCTACCCAGTCCCTCCCTGTTCACCCACCCCATTCCCCGTGCCCCATGTGCCTTGGATTATAAAGAAAATCCTAGGTGTCATGTCATTTTATCCATGAATATTTCAGTATGGATCCAAAAATAAGGGCTCTTTAACAACATCACAGTATCATGATAACACCCTATACATTATAAATTATAAGAAATATAATTCCTTAATTTCATCAACTATCAAGCCAGTATTGAAATTTCTTGGTTGTCTCAAAAAGTTTTTTTGTTTGCTTCAAACAGAATCCAAATACGATCCATACATTGCAACTGATTAATAACTCTTAGGCTTAATTTATACCCAAAATGGATTTTTTTTATTGCAAGATACTGGAGGCCTAGAAAAATAAATAAGAAAGTGAGATTTTGAATTTTTGGTAGAAAGTACAGATATTTTTTGAGTTATTCAGCCACAAGGAAAAGAAATTAAGAAGCCCTAGATAGAATATAATATAGGCATCTTAATATACGCATCTTTTAGATTTGCTTTGGTATCATGAGACCTTTTTTGGGGAGGACAAGGGGAAGCAAAAGTCTCTCTGGCTTATGCTTAGTTATGCTTTGTGACTAAAAATCTCAGTACCGGTGTAGTCTAATGGATGTTAATGTAAACTGGCTTTGTTTCTTGAGTGTCTACATTTTGTGGGGTAAATGTTTAGTGGTTTGGCTAACTAAACTATGTATCATCCTAGTAAGCTGTAGTGTGTTAGTAGCTATTTTATCTTATCACGATGGTATGTGCAAGGCTTCATGTTCTCTTAGCCTGAGAAGAGTAGGAGGTGGTGGTCTTAAAGAAGAAAGTGGCACAGGTAAACACAAGTGAAAACTGTTGTGTTTTTGAAGCAGATAAAAGCAGAGACTTTGAAGCCTGGTGTATTTTCTTACTATTCATTCATTATAATGTTTACAAAGGAATATATCATTTCACTTAGGAAAATGACTACATTCATTCATACTTTGAAGATGGAGATGACTTTGGAGCAGACAGTGATGACAACATGGATGAAGCAACCTATTAGGCATGAAATTTTTCAAAAAATATTTTTATGCAGCTTCTGAACATTTGGACAGACTTGTTTTGTATTTTATTTCTGATAAGCTATAAGTATTTATGTTTTTGTTTTTTTTGGACAAATATTTGTTACCAAAATATTCAAAACCACTTTGAGTTTACATACTAGTTACCTTACCAATTAGTCCCTGACACTCTGACATTCCTTCTAAACACCTCTGCCATCTCTCTTATGTACTCTCGTGGATTTTTTTCATATTTGAATATGAATGTGCCTAAAGAATTTATGCTCTCTTAATCTGTGTATAGGTACTTGAAATCATTCTTGCTTAACTGCTGATCTTTTATAAAACTATTGCTAGTCATAACGAATTTCTATAACCTGAAAATTGAGATAACAGCACATAGAGCACTTTAAAAACAAAGAAACTTGAAAATAATTTTAGTTTTTACTTTAACATAGTATGTTCTAGACTACTGCATTCTGACTACATAAACCTACCTGAGCTCTTACAAGTGCAGAATTGTGAGATAGAGGTTTTGTGATGGAAAACATACACACAGAGAAAAATACCAAACTGAGCAATATCAAGTTCACAGCTCACGTCTTAGCCAGTGCAAAGAAACTTTCACATGGGGTGAATATTATAAATACTTGAATATGGGACTCACTTGATACTGTATGATATATAAATTATTCATCCCACTGTAATAACTTGGACATCTTCAAATAGTTGGGCTTATGGAAAAACTTGACTAAGACATTTTATTTTATCCTTTATGTAAGTGTGAGATAAGTTCTGGTAATATAAATATCACTGTAGAATGCATGTGTGTGAACTCTATGAAGTATGGTGACCTTTTATGTTTCAGAATACTCAAGTTGTACATTTGATTTATATGAATGCAAAATGAACTCAGGTCATTTTGAAATTAAGATTAATTTTTTTGTTTAACTTTAAAGCTAGCTCCCCCAACTTTATATATTTTGGGGGGAAAAATGCCTAAAAACCTTAGCCTACAAAGACTCTCACAAATGCCAAAGATTTTCAAGGAAATTCATATTATATATTTGAAAAATGATTTATCAATGTTATCTACCAAAAGAAATTATTTTTCTCCTTTGGGAAGATATCATTAACCTGAAATGTGAGAATATGATCCCTACATCCTATTTCTACCTGTACTATTAAACTCAACCTTGAAACTGAGTGTGGTTGTTTATGTGCCTTAGTTTCTCCACGTGTACACAATTTCCTATAAAAGTTGTTTAAATACCAACCAAAATTTACTATATGTATTTATTCTCTTTAAAGATTACTTCTTAATTTACATTTGGTTCTCACCCTCTAAAAATTTATAGTTTGGGAAGTAACTGAAAACAATTTTGAGAAACATGTTTTCCTCACAAAATATAATCTGATTTTCCTATCTTGTATTCATGCAGAAAATTCGAGAAAATGTGTATTGTCTTGTGCTATTTTGCAACATGAGTTTCTCAGGAAAAAGATCACTTTCAATGGCAATACTTTATTAAATAATTCAAGATGGGTGTGAGTACCTGTCTTATTAGTTTAGTGCTGTATTAACCATTTGTGAATTATTTCTTGTTTAAAGGAAATTGTAAAACCAATTTAAGATTCTAAATGGAATACATGAATAAAATAAGCCTTAGAATAGAAACCACACATAAAGTTGTCATTTGGGGTTGATAATTAACATAGGTGTTTTATTCTCTCACCACCTTAGTACCAGAACTAAATACCATTTAGTTCTCAGAAATCTTATCAATATTGTTCTGTTTACCTACTTATTATAAATTTGCAGATAACCACTTGAACCAGGCAAATACACTGAAGGTCATTTCTTTTTTTAGCTTTGAATTTGTCATGACAATTTTAGTCTTGCAGATAGCAGGGCAGCCCCTTGGGTCATCAGCCATCCCCTTTAAGAGCATTCTTTTTACAATGTTAAAGTTAATTGTGAGAACAAGCAGAATTTGCAGGTTGCTTTACCAGCATGAATCTCATTTTCCTGGCTTAAAATCTGAGACTGTGAAATTATTCCATAGGAAAGTGAATTTTATTTTGCAGAGATAGCCTCTTAGATAAAAGTAGTTGTTGAAGTGTCTTTAAAATTGCTATCATGAGCAAAACTGGTTGCTATAATGCTTATTTTTCTGTATTTGTTTACACATTAAATTCTTACAAAATTGTGTTCCTTTGTTTTACAGTAAGATGTTTTATTTTGAACTTATTTAAATGTCTATTTGGTAGAGAAAACTAATTTGTTAATACAGATCTTACCTAGTAACTATCTATTGAGCAGGGATGCCTATTACAGATATTCTTGAATAAACTATCACCACAAACAACAAAACTCTGGGTAATGATTATTTATAAAGGTTGTGAACTGGGCATGCTGGTCTATTCCTATAGTCCCAGCTACTCAGGAGGCTGAGGTGGGAGGACTGCATGAGCCAAGGAGGTTGAGGCATCAGTGAGCCAAGGTGGTAAATGAGACACATACACACACACACACACACACACACACACACACAAATTTGTGATAACAAACGAGATTTGGCAGGCAGTATGATTTAGTGTGATCATTTGAACTTGGGCCGACTTATACTGGATACCAGAGAATGTTAAGACATTCAGATTCTTGTTAAATCCACTTCAGTACCTTCTCATGTACAGTGTCAATGGCTTTGCTTTTACATGGTTAAAATCTCAAGCCCATGTGGTGGCATGTACCTGTAGTCCCAGCTACTCGGGAGGCTGAGCTGGGAGGATCAGTTGGCCCCAGGAGTTCAAGGTTGTAGTGAACCATCATGCCACTGCACTCCAGCCTGGGCAACAGACCAATACCCTGTCTCAAAAACAAAATTAAAAAACAAAACGTCTGTAGTAAAAATTTCCATTTTATTAAAAACATAATTTTAAGGTCAAGATGCATTTAAAAATGGAAAAGAAAACCACAGGGATTATACAAATTCCTCCATTAAATAAAAGCTCTAAAGAACCTTCTCAATTTTTCTGCTAATAATCTTTTAAACAGTATTGTTGAGGTTTTTTGTTTTACGATAAATTAAAATTTACGTATAAATAGGGCAGGTTATAATCTGTAGATAATGACTCATCTACAACTTCATAGCAATTCCTGGACCACACCTTACCAGATCTTACCCTGAGGAAAATCCTTCAAAGAACATTCACCTAAAATGTTTTATCTATGTCTTACAAATAATCCAGGGTATTTTGCTTCACTGTGGCAAGTGGGAAATCTGAACTGGTAAACCTTTGTCAATCTGTTCTATCTTACATAATATCCCTATATTAGATAGTTTGAAAGTGGAGGAGAAAAGGTTTGCTTTATTCAATTAAATTCACTGGCTTCCATTCCAGATTGAATAATAGAAACTTTATTACATGTTGCAGATCTTTCAAAATATGAAAAATAAGGGGCAAGAAATTTTAAAAACTGGTTTTATACATGTACATGCTAACATGTTCTACAGTTACATTTGTATAAAATACATTATACAAAAGATTTATAGATTTTGCATACATAAAAATTAAAGCATTCAGATATTTCCATGATCTAACAGTGCAATATGCACATATGTGGAAGAAAATACTGATTACCTGAGCAACATTTCTGTAACTCAGATTAAGAATGAATCCAAACAGTGCACCATTTAAATACATACTTTAAAAAACTCCACCTTTTACTGTGTAACGCTGACTGGATCCTTTACTCGTATTTCCAACTAGGTAATTTTAGAAGTAGACACTTTAAAAAAGAACTAAGTAGTGGTTCGTTTAAAGAACTCTTCAGGACACTGAACCAAGCAGTTAGAACCCAGAAAAAGAAAAGCTGTAAATAAGTCCTTTGGAGAAGATAATTTAACATGAGTCTTTTAATGTGAGCAGCAGAGTCTGTAACCATTTTAACATATCTTTGAAAACATGAACCCCATAACTTTCTAGGAGTGGGACAACAAAAAAATTTTTATTTTAAGGCAGACTTCATAAAACTATCAGCTTTTTCTTTATTTGCTAACTACCAAATTTTAAGTGAACCAAATGCAATGATTCTGTTGTTACTTTTACACTGCATACAAGAGCATGCGTGCGTGTAGGCACACATACACACAGACACACATGTAAAGCTGCAAATTCAAATAAGGGTGTCAACACAAAATCCACAATATTAAACAATAACTGTGCTTGTTAATTAGTTATACAGGGTAATTTGCATTTGATACCAACTTACATTAGTACTCCTTAGAAACTAAAATTATTCCAAATGTATTCAACGCTTGGAAAATTTTTTTTCTTTTCAAAACCTTAGAACCATAATTCAGTATGTAACCTTTATATAGAATTACATGTAATTCAAATTATATTCAATTAATTCAACATGTAATTTAAATATAGAAAAAAACCTGCCTGATTGTGTTATAAGGATGTATATTTCCTTCGAAAAGGATAGTCTGCAAGACAAATGATTTTTAATCAACAAGTACACAGCACACTTTATGCCTTTTTAAAAATAAATTATGTATTTTGGAAATCAAAGTCATAACAATTTCAAAGTACAAGTAACAAAAAAGGAATCAGACTATAATTTCATTAATTTGATGTAAACAAAGTTCTTCAAATGACACCTGGCCGGTTTATCTTAAAATAATCTGCATTTTCTTCCTTAAAACCTCATTTTTCAGCAGGCTTAATAAATACAATGTAAACTGGCCAGTTAAAACACTGAGCATAAATTATATCACACTCTTCAAGATGCTGAAGGCACGTTAAAACAATTTTTTAAATGATTAATTTACTAAAAGAATCAATTTGCAACTTCCCTATTAAACACTTTTTGGTAATTGTCTAAGGTCCTCTAATATCTGCAAGCTTTAATGTTTGACTTTTCTTTTCCTGAAAGTATATAAAACTCTATTTGCCATAAATATTTATTCATGCCACTTTGTATCAAGATTGAAATTTGAAATATATAAAATGACTGATCAAAAGCTTGAAACATCAACAATTAGGAAATAATGCCCAGAAAATGAGGTGGTATTATATATCTTTAAGTATATAGTTTATTATATACAAAACAGGCAATCCAGACTCCACCAAATCTCATTTCTAGTGAAGAATCATTCTGGTTACATTTTTAAAACACATATTTTTAAAGATTAAATGATGGAATCAGTATGCAAATGCTTCTTACTTAGCCAGACTGTAGCTGACTCAACAGATCTTAAAAAGAGGCATATCATGCCCTTTCAAGCAATCTATACACCTTTGGCCTTTGTTTCCCAATTTGATGCTATATATATTGTTCAGGAAAAAAGTCTAAATTGGATATTTTCTCTCTGAAAAACAGGTTAAGGGATTACTAAATAATTTGTCGGTCACTGAAAATACAAAAGACCTCTACTCGCTTTTGTTTAAGGAACCATTTTCTTCAACAGACCTCAGAGGCAGTTTTGACCCAATTATTTGTGCTTTGATGGTCAAAGTGGAGACAAATTTGTATAGCCTATGTAACGAATCTTATTGGACCATCTGAAATAATGCTTAATTTTAATTCTAAAACTTGTATTTACTTAAAAAAACAGTAAGGCATTAAATGTAATTAAGGCATGTTACTATATGTTACAGCAATGATTTATCACAGTATGTAAGAAATTATTTCCTAAATAATGTCAATAGATACATGTTTAACATATTTTTCATCAACAAAACTTTTATTAAAAGTGCTTTCAGATATCAGAGGCAAATATAATCACTTTAGAAACAGACGCATAGAGGTGAGGTTAAAGGGTCTGTCTTGGAGAAAGCATTCTTAAGACAAAAATTAGTTAGGTCTTCACCTAGTCCAGTGTTCTACTGACTTCCCAACCATAACACATTATTTTGGGGGTCTTCAAAATATTTCATTTCTCGGCCTTTGTTGTAGGAATTATAATTTACCTTCCCCTTTCTCTTTGTACATATGTTTTCACAGCACATGTGCTAACTGTATTTTTTAAAAGTTTCAAAGTGGTGTGTTAGGTATGCTACCATGAATAATTTTAGAATCAAATATTCTTGCAACTGAATATTTTGGGGGTTCATAGTAGTAAATTTTTTCAATTGCAGTCATCTGATGCTATCATTCTGCATCATAAATTTCACATTAATAAACTTTTAAAAAATTACTTAAAAAATAAAATTTAAGCATTCATCTTAAGAAAAATGATATACCTTCCAAGTTAAGAACTTCCTAAACACACATTTAAATTCACTTCTGCTTGAAACACTGACACACCAGATTTATGGATCAACTGCTCTTAACATGAACAACTAGTTGCTCAAAAATTTTCAAAGTATGAAACCCTTTTGTTAAAAACAAAAGCATCCTCAATCTCTCTAAATTCTGCCTTTGAAGCGATTATTGGATTTAACTATTCACCACATTCCAGATGCACGTGAACACTAACATTTAATTATGAGCTAATTGCTATGTTTCACGTTGAGCAGCAGGTGACTGAGAATCTTGACTATACAGTTTATGATCATCTTGTTGGCCGAAGTGTATTCCTTTAGTTGGAGCAATTCCATTTTCCATTTCTCTCTGCTGTGATGGTGGTGTGATTTTTGAATGTAAATGTGAAGAATCCACTGTTGAATGATGACTAACATCCACTTTAGCTAAAATTTCATAATACAATAAATAAAACACTGGTGTTATTATACCTACTATCAACATTATCACTACAGCTGTCCACCACCCTATTCCCCAGTCTGCTCCATAATAGGGATCTTTACGTTGAGTGTTTTTGTTATCAGGTTCAAAACGTATTTGTTGTGCTGTTAAGGCCGATACTACCTCATTGAGGTTCTCTCTCTTATTGTCTGTACACTTCACTATTTGTTCTATGTCTCGGTCTACTTCTTTCAAAAAGCTACCAGCTGAGTCACTGTAAGAAAGAGAATCATTAGCTGGCAAAAGTTCCAGTTGTTCAGAAGAGTATTGAACAGATGAATGACGTGAAGTCTGTCTTCCTTTTGGAGGACAAAGTGTTTCAGTCAAGGAACTGAACTTTTTTACTGGAATTTTGATAGATCTAAGGGCAAAAAAGTCTTGATCACTGATGAGATTGTTAACTCTCTTGATATCTGCTACCTGTAAAAAAAAAAAAAAAAAAAAAAGAAAAAAGAAAAAAAAGGCAACATACAACTCAATTCTAAGTCAAAATAAAAGTAGCAATACTCATTCATCCCAGTTACTTTTGGAGGGAAAAAAAGTTGAATTCAATTATTAGTAGTATTACGTTACACCCAGAGAGATTTTAATTTTATTTGTAGATGAGAATTCTACACCACTTTAGATCTACCACTCTTAGGAAATCACCAACTACTTTTTACTATCACCCATATATATTAGTAACACTAGTTAATGCAATTTAAGTAGATTCTAGAATCCTTTGCTGTTTCCCTTTGTGCATCATGCATAAATACCACAGTCCTTATGCTTGGAAACAATTTGCGAAGGAAGGATTATAAGCAGTTATGTTTGTTTCAGTTTGAAAAATGGAATATAGACAAATGCTGTCCAATTAAAACCATCATATTTTATCAAAATTAAGATGCCATAACTCTAAGATGCAGCATTATTTTACGTATCCCTAGGGGAAAAAAAAAGCTTCATCAAAAACTGAAGATGCCACCATTCCAATTTTAAAGATGCTAAAATGCATGGAAAAGCATATATAACTTAGAATTCAAAAAATTGGTAATTTATCCCCCTCACTTCTGAAGCCATTTTCCCCCAAAACTTCTCAGTGTAAATTCATTATTCAACTACTTTCAAGATTACTCATAAGCTTTTTCTCTTCCTCCACCTGTTTATATATCCCATCCACTGTGAGATAACTTGTCTGTATATCCTATTCCATTGTGTTGGGGGAAGAGGAGTGTTTGTCAAATTATCATTTGGTATGCCAGGCTCTCCCAGCATCTATTAGTCCCATTCATTTCCATCAATGCTTTAATCTAAGACCTAATCATGTATCACCTTATTGATGTCAGAGAGATAAAGTGGGTCTAGTATGAAGCTTAGATTTCTGGTTTGGTCAACTTGATGGATGATGGCATTCACTGAACAAATGGAGTACTATGGAGGGTAAGAAGAGGATGAATGCAGATTTTAGACATGCTGAGTTTGAGGTGCTTGAGATAAACAAGTGGAAGATGTTCAGGACAGAGTTGTAGATATATGTCTGAAATTCAAGAATGATCTCTGCTACAGATACAGATTTGTGGACTATCAGCAAAAATGTAATTGAAGTCGGCCAGGCATGGTGGCTCATGTCTGTAATCCCAGCACTTTGGGAGGCTGAGGCAAGTGGATCACCTGAGGTCAGAAATTCGAGACCAGTCTGGCCAACATGATGAAACCCTGTCTCTACTAAAAATACAAAAATTAGCCAGGCATGGTGGCGCATGCCTGTAGTCCCAGCTACTCGGGAGGGCAGGAGAATCACTGGAACCCAGGAGGCAGAGGTGGCAGTAAGCCAAGACTGTGCCACTGCACTCCAGCCTGGGCAACAGAGGAAGACTCTGTCTCAAGAAAATAATAATAAGGCCGGGCACGGTGGCTCAAGCCTGTAATCCCAGCACTTTGGGAGGCCGAGGCGGGTGGATCACAAGGTCAAGAGATCGAGACCATCCTGGTCAACATGGTGAAACCCCGTCTCTACTAAAAATACAAAAAACTAGCTGGGCATGGTGGCACGTGCCTGTAATCCCAGCTACTCAGGAGGCTGAGGCAGGAGAATTGCCTGAGCCCAGGAGGCGGAGGTTGCGGTGAGCCGAGATCGCGCCATTGCACTCCAGCCTGGGTAACAAGAGCGAAACTCCATCTCAAAAAAAAAAAAAAAAAAAAAGAAAATAATAATAATTTTAAAAAGGTAATTGAAGTCAAAGAGTTAACGGAGTCACCACAAAAAGCCCGGGAGAACAAAGCAACAGGAAGATCCCTAAGGAGCGCCAACATTTGATGGGTATGCCAAGTAACAGAAATCTACAAAGGAGATTAAGAATGGCCAGGAAGGGAATATACAATAGTGGTTAAAAGCATGGATAACTGGGCTTGAAGCATGACTGTGATACTTTCTAGCTGTATCACCTGGGGCAAGCTGTTAAACCTCTTTGCCATTCAGGTTCCATACCTGCAATATGGCAGTAGTAATACTACCTACATATAGGGTTGAAGTGAACATTAATAATTTAAATTTTGTAGGACACTCAGAACAGTGATATACAGTATGTTATATAAAAGTTAGCTATTATTAAATGTTAATAGTAGGAAAACCAGAAACCTGAAAAGTCAAGGTGGTCAAGCAGAGAGAGTTCTTTAGGAGGGAGTAGTGAACAGAATCAACTGTAGATTCGTGATCAACTATGATGAAGACTAAAAGAAGTCAAGCTGGGAAAATTCTCTTCGAGTGTATGTGTAGGAGGATTAGAAGGAAAGGGCTGAACAACAACTAAAGATGAAAGAGTAAATAAAAAGGGTGTTTTATCCTCTTACTACCTTCACACAGTTTTGTCTTACAGTAAATGAAGATTCACTGAAAACCCCAAAGTTTGACCCCATTGTCTTTAAATGCTCTTTTGCTTGGTATTGTGTACTCTTACTTCTTAGTATTTTTTTGGAATTAGTGTTTTCAATGTTTAGAATCTAAGTTATCTGTGAATATCCCCATAATGATTTCTATGCTATGCTAACTTCCTTTGTTGCATTCAAGATTCCAACCTTGGACTTTTTATTCTCATCAGTTGTATCACTGACATATTTTTAATAATTCTTAAGATTATTTCTAAGTGGAATATATCACTTATGGTATTTTTTAAATGATAAATCCTTTTATAATTATAAATCCTTTTATAATTTTTTTCTGTTGCTTATGCTACCATCAAAAAGGAGCATTGCTTATCTTAACTGATTCTGTTATCACCTTTCCCACTATATAGTGGCTGATATGGTTTGGGTATGTCCCCTTACCCAAATCTCATTTCATCTTGTAAACTCGAATGCTGCAGATGGGGCTTAGGCAGGTGATTGGATCACGGGGATGGATATCCCCCTTGATATTGTCCTGAGTTCTTGTGAGATCTGGTTGTTTAAAAGTGTGTGGAACATCCTCCCTCACTCACTGTTCCTCCTGCTCCAGCCATGTGAAAATGCCTGCTCTGGCTTTGCCTTCCACCATGAGTAAAAATTGAGGTCTCCCCAGAAGCAGATGCTGCCTGCTTTCTGTATAACCTGCAGAACCATGAGCCAGTTAAATCTCTTTTATAAACTACCCAGTCTCAAGTATTTTACAGCAATGCAAGCACAGACTAATACAGTGACCAATGCCATCTCTCCTCTAATGTTAAGCTAAGCTCTTTCATCATTCTCATTTCACATAAGCAATCAGCTGATATATCCTGTGCTTTTTCCCAATACATTTTTAAACAATTCTTTTCTATCCTTATCACAAAAATTTTAGTCTGAGTCCCGATCATCTTTATTATTCCAGTAATCTCTTTATTGGATCCCCTTCAATTCATCAGCAGGCCCCTCCGCTATTCTGTATCACTCCTATTAAATCCTTAAATTGTGTTCTCTTACTATATAGATCAAACTTTTCCATTCTTTATCACTCCTGTTAAAACCTTACAATTGTGCTCTTACTGTAGGGATTAAACTTTTCCTCAGGGTCTCAAAGCACTTCATCCCAAACAGTCTGTGCCACTCATTGCTGAAATACCTATGAAAATTCCCTTTGTTGTTTACCATATTTCCTCCTTGAAATCTTCACACCACTGAAACATGTCCTTTGCACCTCACTGGAAAAATGACCTTTTTATTTTTGAGATGGCTCTGTGGCCCAAGCTGGAGTGCAGTAGTGTGATCTCGGCTCACTGTAACCTCCACCTCCCGGGTTCAAGCAATTCTCCTGCCTCAGCCTCTGAGTAGCTGGGATTATAGGAATGTGCCAGCATGCCCAGCTAATCTTTTTGTGTTTTTAGTAGAGATGGGGTTTCACAATATTGGCCAGGTTGATCTCAAACTCCAGAGTACAGGTGATCCACCTGCCTCAGCCTCCCAAACTGCTGGGATTACAGGCGTAAGCCACTGCACCCAGCCAGAAATATGACCTATTTTTAATTATTTAGATGGTATGTCAGATTTTCCTAAGAGAATTCTCTAGGTTTATTAAAAGAAAGCTAATGTCTTTCTCTTATAAAACTACTGAATCACACTTCTCTTGGATCTGTACCTTTATGTTTTTAGTCTTGTCTTTGATTTCAGAGTTTATTCCACTATTTACCTTCTATGATATATTCTGTAATTTATTTCTCAATGGTCCTATTTCTCTATGAAACATTTACTCACATGTTTATTTGCATTCAGAAATAAACTTAGGTATTTTCTGATTTAATAACGGCAGGAATTGCTGTTGGCATACATGAGCAAGGTAGGAGGAAAAAACTACCCAGCTCTTAAACCACATCAAAAAATTCATTTTAATAAAATATTTTATTAAATTTTAAAATCAAAATTTGTAGTACATTTGTTTTGATGAATTGTGAATTGTAATAAAAATATGAATTATTGCAGTAGTTGCAAATGTAGAAAAAACACAACCTCATGACCATAATTTTTTTAGAATGCAATATAAATTTATATATATATATATTTATACAATATAAACTTATAGACATGTGTGGTCCTATTGCAGAGAAGTATTATAGGTAGTCAATAAAAGGTTTTTCAATTCTAAAAATAGTTCATATCATGAAAAATTTGGGAGGAAGATGAAAATATTAATGAGAAAAAGGAATGATATAAAATCTCATGCTTTTAGAAAAGAACTCTCATACATACGGACACTTTACACTTTTTTGTTAAATACAGATTTCAGGTAGCAAATCCAAGTGGTATTTAGAATTCTGTGGATGCATTTAAAGAGCACTCTAAAAGTCTTATTTTTAAATGTCAATACTGACAACATTCTGAAAATTATACCCTTTGTAACTATTTTAAGTCATGAGGAAGAATTTAAGAAGTTTGCTTAAAAATGTGCAAGGAGGTACAGGTACATAGTACATATATTTCAAATTCTGTTGGGAGTACGAGAACAAAAAGGTCAAAAACAAATGTTCTAGCCATTTTCCATATCAATGAGTTTGAGGTCTTAGGAGGATATAAAAATATTCTGCTAGCCAGGCGCTGTGGCTGACACCTGTAATCCCAGCACTTTGGGAAGCCAAGGTGGGTGGATCACGAGGTCAGAAGTTCAAGACCAGCCTGACCAAAAACCGTGAAACCCCATCTCTACTAAAAATAAAAAAAAACTAGCCGGGCCTGGTGGCACGCGCCTGTAATCCCAGCTACTCAGGAGGCTGAGACAGGAGAATCGCTTGAACCTGGGAGGTGAAGGTTGCAGTGAACCAAGAGCACGCCTCTGCACTCCAGCCTGGATGACAGAGTGAGACTTCATCTCAAAAAAAAAACAGAACAAAATACACACACACACACACACACACACACACACACACACACACACTGCTAAGGCCTCAAGATGGACATAATGACACAGATAGAAAATGGGTCCAAATAGAGTACAGTATCTATTAAAATTAAAAATACACCTTTCAGCCAGGCACGGTGGCTCACGCCTGTAATCCCAGCACTTTGGGAGGCCAAGGCAGGCAGATCACGAGGTCAGGAATTCAAGACCAGACTGGCCAATGTGGTGAAACCCCATCTCTACTACAAAATAACAAAAATTAGCTGGGCATGGTGGCTCGTGCCTGTAATCCCAGCTACTTGGGAGGCTGAGGCAGGAGAATTGCTTGAACCTGGACCTGGGAGGTGGAGGCTACAGTGAGCCGAGATTGTGTCACTGCACTCCAGCCTGGGCTACAGAGTGAGACTCTTATCTCAAAAAATAATCATCATCATCATAATAATAATACACCTTTTTCTTATCTAGCAATCCCATTTTTGGGATTTATCCCACAGAAATAAAGATACCACCATTTAAAGATATAGTTGTGATGATATTTGCCACACAAGGTAAAACACCAAGAAAATCCTGAGAATTAATAGGGCAATGGCTTAAAAATATTGGAACATTAATAATATGGACATCATATAACTATTGAGGGATGGTCATAAAGGTGTCCATGATACACTAAATAATGAAAAATGCAAGTTGCAGAATAATATGCATAATAAAACCACTTTTAAAAACAGATGACTAACTCCCCAAGTATGTACATATAAGTAAATACTTATGAGTGCAAAATAAGGTACAGGAAAATGCTAAAGTAATTATTTCAAGAAATTGGGGCATGGAAAAGCTTTTCCCAACGTATTTCCACATTTTCTTACCATTTGAATAAGATGATAAAATAGTTAAGTGTTTTTCAACACTGAAATTCGTGGATTTGGAAATACACAGAAATTGAGGTATTCGCTTAAAATTTTAAAAAGTAAACATCTACAAATGTGACACAGATTTCTATGCAAAGAAGAATAAGAGCAAAAATTGGAGAAAGGAATAAACAAGGTAAAAAAATGACATGGAATTTATTTCAATGTGGGTAAACAAATAATTTAATCTGGATTGCATTAAAACTTACCGTACAACAGTACTGAAGAGCTATTGCATTTAATGTATCTCCTTCTTGTATATCTTTTGTTAATACGATAATGTCATCAAGTCTATCTCTTGATGTACTTCTTCGGACTTTCTCTTTTCCTCTGGATCTAAGCTCATACACTTCAGCATCCTCCTCCAACATATCACTGTCTGAACAATTTCCAAATGCATGTACTTGACCACTCGACTGAACTCCTGGAGGGGGAAAACTTCGATTCTGATGCCTCCCTGCCATAATGTTAAAATCTGGAGAGGAAGAAAGAAAAAGCAGAGAAAATTTTGGAATGTAGCTGATCTAACTGACTGATTTGCATGCATCGTACATTCAGGACACAATCTTGTTTTTGTTTTAATGGTTTTAGTTATTTAAACGTTTAGGTTCAAGGTTTTTGTTTTATTTTTTGAGATGGAGTCTCACTCTGTCACCCGGGCTGGAGGGCAGTGGTGTGACCTTAGCTCACTGCAACCTCTGGCTCCCAGGTTCAAGTGATTCTCCTGCCTCAGTCTACCAAGTAGCTGGGATTACAGGCGCCCAACACCACGCCTGGCTAATTTTTTTTGTATTTTTAGTGGATACAGGGTTTCACCATGTTGGCCAGGCTGGTCTTGAGCTCTTAATGTCAGGTGATCCACCTGCCTTGGCCTCCCAAACTGTTGGGATTACAGGCATGACATGAAGCCACAGATGGAAGATACCACACCTGACATTTTAGATTTCAGATTAGGAATGCTAAACCTGTACAGGTATTCTGGTAATGTGCTTAGGTGCCCTGAACACATTATTTTTTTCACTGTATTAATAGTATGTCATAGTTTTTTGTTGTTGTTGTTTTTTTACTGTTAAGTACTTATGTGTACGTGTAAGAAAATGATTGCTTATTAGTAGCATATAAATTCAGAGTTAGGAATGCTGGTGATGCCAAACAACCACAGATTTTCCACAAGGGTGGCTAAAATAGTGACACTTTGCCTGCTTATGGTTCCAGGTACAAAAACTTTTGTGCACAAATTATATAAAATTACCTTCCAGCTATGTGTATAAGATGAATATGACACACAGATTTCGTGTTCAGACGAGTCCCATCCCCAATATATCTCATTATGTATATGCAAACATTCCAAAATCCAAAGAAATCTGAAACACTTCCGGTCTCAAGCATTTCAGGTAAGGAAAGCTCAACCTATACTCTCTATATAGGCATGTACTTACCATAAAATGTTTTGAAACTATTTAATATAGTTGAATCCAACCCTTAAAAACCATTTTCTAATGGCAATATTGTAATGCTTTAAAAACTCAAGAGTTCCTATTAAGATAACACGGATAACTAATAGCTATATGTTAAGTAGATTATTTCAACTGTTCCCTGAAATGCTACATTACTTATTACCAAAAACTAGGATTCCTAACTTGACAGCTATGAAACTAAAGAAAACTATCGCATTTTATATCTCAAAGGCAGTTTTGAAGTCATGATCACATTTTTTCCTCCAAGGATAATGGTTTTATTTCCACTCACTTTTTTTTTCTTTTTTTTTGAGATGGGAGTCTCACTCTTGTTACCCAGACTGGTGTGCGATGGTGCAATCTTGGCTCACTGCAACCTCTGTCTCATGCATTCAAGCAATTCTCCTGCCTCAGCCTCCAGAGTAGCTGTGATTGCAGGCACCAGCCCCCATGCTCGGCTAATTTTATTTTTAGTAGAGATGGGGTTTCACCATGTTGGCCAGACAAGGCTCGAACTCCTGACCTCGGATGATCCGCCCACCTCAGCCTCCCAAAGTGCTGGGATTACAGGCATGAGCCACCACGCCCAGCTCCTAGTCTTTTTTTAATCTTGTGTCTTTAATCTAGGGAATGTCTGTGAATCCTGTGGATTCCAGGCAAATTTTATACATGAGTATATTTTTCCGGGGAGAATATTACTTCATATTCTCAAAAGGCATTCATAATCAAAAAATTTAAGACTCAATATACAGCAATTTACACGTGGCTATACCGACCTACTTATGTTGTCCCTTCAGACACTTTCTCCCTAATAATTTGTTCTTACAACTTCAAAAATTGGCTTAGTACAGCTAACTGAAAATCACTAAGCAATGCACCAAAGCCATTTTAGATATTTGTTTATATCAACCTCTCTCCACGATATATTTCTAAATAATAATTTAACGGTCAGAATTTCACCTGTCTCACTATCTCTCCACTCCCCTTTATAATGAAATGGGGGCAGCTGACTATCATATTACAAAACTGGGTATTCTGAATGATCAAGAACTGGCGGTGTCTCTAACCGAAATGAACAAACTGACTCAGGTAATCACTCTAGTCAACTACTCGGAGATTAGAAAGCACATAATACTGGCCGGGCGCGGTGGCTCAAGCCTGTAATCCCAGCACTTTGGGAGGCCGAGGCGGGTGGATCACGAGGTCAAGAAATCGAGACCATCCTGGTCAACATGGTGAAACCCCGTCTCTATTAAAAAAAAAAAAAAAAAAAAAAAAAGAAAGTACATAATATTTAAGTCATCTGGCTCAATACTACTCACTTGTCTTAGTGCAGTAAAAAGGCAGAACTCCCTCTTCAGAAACCTGGAACAAGCTTGCATTCTAGATTACAAGAGGCCACAAAACAGTGTTAAAGCATTCATCAGCTTACTCTGTAACTGAAAATGCTTTCCCAAACATCTTCGTACTATAGAAGATGTTTTGCCTTGACCTTTTTTAAGCAGGGAGCAATAAGAGGGTCACAGGGCACAAACCAGAGCTGCACCGGGACACAATCAAAGTCACCTTATCCGCTGCCAGGGCCTATTTCGTTTTTTAAAACTTAATTTCCTCCCCTCCATATTCCACACGTCAAGTTTTTCTGTCCCTGCTATCAGCGAGGATTACGTCTCAGATTCTTCTGTCACAGCATGACACTTGAATGATATGAAAAGATGTCGTCAGCTCATGTTTCATGCGAACATAAAGTTGTGGGAGAAATGCAGTGCTTGGGTGGGAAAAGAGCTGCCCCGGTTATCCAGCAGGTAGGCATCCTTCCTCTGAGCCTCAGTTTCCCCGACAGCGTGACAAGGGGGCCTGGGGGAGCTGGTCTGGAAGTTCTTTCCTGCCTTAGGGGTGTCCTCCATGCGGGCCGAGCGCCGCCCCGCTGCCCCCACCACACCTGTGGCCGAGGGCTCCGCGCCTTCTCCAGTGAGAACGCAGCTGGGGCCCAACCCCGCCAGCCAGGCCCAGGCCACCCTCACCTCCTGCCACCATCTTTACCTGTCCTGTTAGCAGGGGGCACGTAGCGAGCAGACTGCTATCAGTTCCGCCGCCGCCGCTGTCCCGGGCAAGTTCATGGCCGAGCCTCCGCTTTCGGCTGACCCTATCCGCCTCCGCCTCTGCCTCCGCCGCCAACGTCTCCGCCTTCCGGGCCGCACGCCGCCGCCACGTCCGCAAACCTGCGGTGCGTCATCGCGTCAAGTGGGCGGAGGTGGGAAGGGGCGGGGGAGGAGGCGTGGGGCGAGCCGAGGACAGGGGAGTCCAACCGCAGGTCCCCGCCCCGCACGCAAGCGCAGGGACTCCGCCAGGGCTTGGGGGCGGGTCCAATTCCCAGCCCCGCCCTTGACTCCCTTCTTTCTCCCCAGCCGCCTCACTCCTCTCGGAAAAGATCTGCTGGACAAGGCAGCGGAACTAGCCCGCGATCCCCGGCTACTTGCTGGCTACGCCTTTGTTCATGGTGCTGGCAGAGACTGTTGGGGGCGCACTGAGGCCGAGGCGTGGCTGAGGATGTGTAGGGGAGCTGTCCTGCATATTTTTCTTGTTCTACATCTTGAATTTTCTTTAGGGTGGGGAAGGACACCTCAAAAGCACTGTTGACATCACGCTTTCAGAAAATTGCAGCATGCTTCTTACGCTTTTCATGCTGAAGACTCTAGACTGCTGCAGAAGAGGCAAAATACTGGCGAGAAACCCTTGGGGGACCGGGGACGAGGATTGAAGGGGTTGTTGCAACCTTTGTGTTTATAGGTGAGGAAAGTGAGCCACCTAGAGTCAGGCCCCGGGAAATGCTTTCCCTGGCTCAAGGAGTCAAGGGCGTCAATAAATTGTAATCTAACTTCTTTTGGTTTGAAAATTAACTGAGTCATTTGTAGTCACCTTTGGGATCTATGAGATATCAATTTGTTAAATAACAAACTCATGACTTCATACAAGATTTTTATCACAAATTTACTAAATGAGTACGATAATGTGTTTGAATTAATATATTACTTTGAATGGCAAAACTCGCAATTACTTTTGCACCAACCTAATGAATGAAAAGCATTTTAATAAGTCTGATGTCTCTCAGTGTTGACATGAGAGACGTTACACTTTGACGACTATGCTAACTGTTACGACAATATCCATTTTAGGCACAAATAGCTGGGGGGCAGGGACAGAGCAGTGCTTTTCAGAATGTCTGAATATTTATACATGATAAAGCCTTTGAAGCTTGGTTTTAAATTGTTTTTCAAAGGGTATGTTTTTGGTTTTCTGGGAAGTGCCTCTGCAAAGGTTAGGAGTTTTGCATTGCAATAGTTTTCTTTTATTTGCAGGGATAGGCACTGTGCTCCCCAGTGCCACAAAAATAACTGCAAGAGAATACTTTTTTAAAAGGTTGTCTGAGTTGTTCTGTGTGTTGTTGCCCTCATGACACCCCTGTCTGTAACCATTTATCACTAAGACATTTTCTCATCAGCAGACAAAGGACGTATTCCCTACTTGATATGTAGGACTTCAGCTGCTTAGCCCTCATGAATGTTAATGGGAATACATCCTTCTTCCTGCCTATAGGTTACTTTTCTTATTTTAATGTCAATAGACAGCGGAATTCATGTGAAAGCCAAAGTAATAGATTTCAGGCACCTCTATAGGACCGATATCTGTATCCTTCATACAAATAACTTTCTCAGAGATATCTGCATGCTCTTGAATCATTATTTGTATTTAACAAAGCTGCAAATATTAAACTTTTTATTGAAATGTTAAGAATCTGATTATATTTTATTATTAGAATATACAAAAGAAGCAGTTAGCATGAATTTTGGCCAAGGTCCAAAAAGCCAGCCAGTAGGAACAAGTATTTTGTCTTTGAGAAAAAGAATGTCCCCAGTGCTCAGCACAGTGAGAGGATTTTTAGTGTTTTAAGATCTTATCTGACACAGTTTCTGTTAAAAGGCTATAGATGAAAGAATATGCCATTTCTAGGAATATATGTTTTAGTCACTAACATTTAGATTTTGTGAGTTGTCCCAGAGTAGAAGTTGTACTGAAGTGAAAGTGTAAATTGATGCAACCTGTTAGGCAATATCTATCAGAATTAGAAATGCAATTGACTGAACTACTACATTGCTAAGTAATTACCTTTGATTTACTTACAGATACATATGTGTAAGATTTAACAGATATTTTCAAGAATGTTTGCACAGTAGTAGCCAAAATCTGAAAACATTCTAAATGTTTATCAGTAGTTGACTGATACTTCTGGTACATTAAAACAATCTAATATTATACTTTGGTTCAAAAGAGTGAAGTTAATCTGGCATATGCTGCTTTATTCTTTCATTTACCTAAGAAGTTTTTGGTGAAGAAAAACAATGCTTAAAAAGATAAATTCCCCTTACTTCTAGAGCTTGCATAACTGTAAGCATACAGAAGGATCTTTAAAATGTATTATAGTATATTTTAGGAAGAAAAAAATAAAATAGGAGGTATGATGTTGATTCTGTGGAATAAATTTTAAATATACATCTCCCATCCTACCCCCTGTACCCTGCCGACACACACACATACACATTCACACACATATGTATCTATGCAGGGAGATGCATTTAATTTTTCCATTAGGAAAGTTACTCAAGGAATTTTAACAGCGGCTAAAAAGGACTAGACATGGCAGGGGAGTAGGCAGGAGATTTTGTCTTTTCCTCTTAGAACTTTCTATATGGACATAATTTTTATTACTGCATGCCTTTATTATAATATTAAGAATTGGCCGGGCGCGGTGGCTCAAGCCTGTAATCCCAGCACTTTGGGAGGCCGAGGCGGGTGGATCACGAGGTCAAGAGATCGAGACCATCCTGGTCAACATGGTGAAACCCCGTCTCTACTAAAAATACTAAAAATTAGCTGGGCATGGTGGCGTGTGCCTGTAATCCCAGCAACTCAGGAGGCTGAGGCAGGAGAATTGCCTGAACCCAGGAGGCGGAGGTTGCGGTGAGCCGAGATCGTGCCATTGCACTCCAGCCTGGGCAACAAGAGCGAAACTCCGTCTCAAAAAAAAAAAAAAAAAAAAAAGAATTAACACATTTTATTTTTAGATAACTGGACTTGTTTATTCTGGAGTTAACCTATAGTTAACCATCCATGTCTTAGTCATTCCTGAGTGTGTTTGTACTATGCATACAAGTGACGAATGCCTGGAGAAAAAAAAAACAGATCAATTGTCTTATAAATCAAAAAATGAAAGGCTAACAAACATTGAATTCTTTTTACAGTTTTTCTTGATTTTCCTCTGTCTGATTTCTTTCAACCCTGCTCTTTTACTCTCTGCTCCTTCCTATTATTCCTATTTCTATCCTCTTAGCAGCCTTTTCTGTCCAGTTTCAACTTTTCAGAAGCAGAACTAGAAAGAACTGTTGGACAATAAGGAAATACCTAAACTAATCTCAAAAGAAGTTAAAATTAGATTATTGAGTGAAACTTTTAAAAAACCTCCCACATCTCTGATCTTCAAACAACCTATGTAGAGAGAAAATTTTTGTGTCTCTCCTCTCGAAGTTTTGGAAAAAACAGACTGGGTGATTTGGATACATTCTGCTAGCAGATGTACCCATATAACCTCTCTCATTGCCTTTAATCCTGTGATTTTTAAACAGTGCTTATTATAATCATTATTTGCCATAACGTGGATAAAAGAAGAGTCTCATATACTTCAGGAATCCATAGCTGTTTATAAATGCTAGTAATTAATTCATGGATGCTAAGCAAGACTTGAAAACAACAATTTTCCAGTCTTCATCCATGCAGATATGATGAAAACTAGCCTCATAAATACTATCCTTACACTCTTTAGCTAGGTGGTTGGTACATGTAGGAAGGAATAGTTACATGTTTATATTTAATTAGACTATAATTTGATATGCTTTGTTTCTCATGGTCTTTATAATCACTACTATCACATAGGCAAATCAGTGCAGGTGAATGTCCACAGAACCTGCATCCTGCTTGTTTTTGTGCCTACTTCCCCAGAGATTTAAGATAATAAGGCAGAATGTAATTAAGTTCACTAAACTAAAGGAAAACCTGAGGCATGACCCAGGTTTTGGGTGATGGTAGATGGTGATCACCCAGAAGTGGAGAGCAGGTCAAAATGGAGGACAGAGAGTGGACATCCAGTTCGATATCTTAGGGCTTCAGCAGTGCATTCACACAACCAGGAAAGCTAGGGAGTGGGGAAGAGTAAAAGGAGAATGGAAGAGGCAACAGCATCTTCTCTTTCTAATCTAAGTCTTTCCAGATAGAGACCACTTCTGTGACAATCCTCAGCTTAGTCAACACTATCTATCTGACAAAACCAAGCAAGAATTTCAAAAGGAACACTTCCATGCTCATATAGAGTAATAATGAGGTGTACATACATACCTAAAATAAAGGTAGTTGCTTATCTGACAAAATATAGACAGAAATTATATCTCAACAAATGTTAATTAAGCAGCAGCTGTGTTTCAAATCCTATTTTAAGAACCAGGGACACAGTGAATAAAGCAAATAACTTCTTAGAATTAAGGGACATGCAATGAGCAAACAGACCCAAATCTTTGCCCTCTCGGAGCTTATATTCTTGTGGTGAAAGATAAAACAAAATAAATAAATGAAATTGTGTTAGATGGTGATATGCGAATGGAGGAAAACTAAATAGGGTAGGAAGCTACAGTGTTTGGGGATGGGGGAGAGTCTCTACCCTATGAAAATTCTCTCTCCCTCAGAGAGGAACTGTGCCTAGAGTACTGGAGGAACAACAAGGATGGCGGCATGGCTGGAGCAGATTGCCCAGAGAGGGAGCTGTAGGAGATGAGGTCATATGGAGCCAAATGGGATAGGACTCTGTCAGCCATTACAAAGACTTGGACTTTCACTCTGAGCAAGATGAGAAACCATTGGAGGGTTCTGAGCAGAGGAAGTCACCATCTACCTTTTAAAAGGATCCCTAGGAAAATTAGGGCAGCAGCGGGAGATCAGTTAAGAGGAAATCTGTAGTTAACTCAGGCAAAAGGGAAGATGTCTCGAATTAGAGAAAAACACCAAATATCGCACTGATTTGGATTAAAAATACTTGATTTAAGAATATTTTTTCAAAGCCTCCAACTCTATGAGGATGCTCAATTTTAGTTTTAAA